TATATATATATATATATAACTTATAAGTTGTGCCCCCGCACCGAGAGGGATTAAGGAAAAGTGTTATTTACGCCACTGTTAAAGTCTATTATTATCTTTTGCATTTAAACAACGCTGCTTTTAGAGTTTCTACCAAGCACCATCTTTCTAAAGATATATTCTAACGGTTGTTAAATTTTTCAGTTGCTGGTTATCATCAGAGGATGGACTCATGTGGAGCTTTGTTGGTCCTGCCTGCGCAGTTATTTTAGTAAGCACTTGTTTCCGATATAAAATTATTATTAATCTCACCAGAAAAAAATCAATCACACCTAGAGAAATCTTGAAAAAGCAACCATATAACTCCACTTCTAAACTTGATAACCGAGAAAGTGAGAGCACAGAAGTGAGAGATTTAGGTAGGAAGTGAGAGCACAAAAGTTTGCAGGTCACCAGTTAACTTTCTATTGAACTTGATAACTTGTTACTGAACTTGATAACCGCCTAGATTTAGGTAGGAAGTGAGAGCACAAAAGTTTGCAGGTCGCCAGTTAACTTTTTATTCTAAACACAGTTCGAAATGAGTGTTTAATACTAGATTGCCCAATCAAGTCATTTTAACTGCTTTTTAATTTCAATTAGAAAAACAATGATGTATATAATGACACAATTTCTTAGAATTTTGTGACTTTTTGTACAACATATAATTTTTTTATTGTTATTAATAACCTGTTATATAACTGTGAATAGTATAAAAAATATAAAAAATTAATTTTATACAAATTTCTTTACACGTTAGTTATTCTTTCACAATCCAGTCATTTTGACTGCTTTTGGGTAATATAGAGGTATATACTAAGTTTCTGTCTTTCTAGTGTTAAGTAAAAAATACAGCTCGAAATGCGTATTTAAAAATACGGACACAGAAAAAAATGTGTCTTTTGAATGTTCAACACAATTTTAACAACTAAACAAGGAATGTTCTTATTTTTTAAACATTAAGCATAATCATTACGGAGCAAGGTCTTGGACTTTGGGGTTAGAATGTCTGGGTATATTACTGATGTAACTTATCAGGTAATTCTTCGTCTTCGGAACACTAAACGATAAACATGTTTCAAAAATCAAAATTCGTACAAGGCCAATTTATAACCACTATTATACATTTATAGGACCTGTGACAACCTTGTAAGAAGAATGAATGATGAGTTTTAATATTTTTTTAAAAAAAGCTTAATTTTAAAAAATCTATTAAGTGATTAAGGCATCATCACGTAACGAATTTATTTGGGTCCATTACTTTATTCTTAAAAATAAAAATAATATTTTTGATAAGAAAAGTTAGAAAAACGGAATCAAATGTCCATTTTTTTAAATACGCATTTCGAGCTGTGTCCAGAATAAAAAAACTCATCGGCGAGGTAGTACGTCTAATTAAATCATTCATTAGGATTTTGATCGCACAAATCTACGGAAAAGAGGGAATTTCAGCTTTTTTTCCCAGTGCTTTAAATATTTCACAGATTTTTTTTATAGCAAGTCAGGTGATTGCAGTCAACCGAAATACAATAGAGTCCGTTCATTAAATAGGCAAATATTCTTCTCGCCCGATGAACCTCGTTGTTGCCATCTTGAAAGATAGGAATATCAACAGCGCCATGAAGATGTTGACCACAGAGAAATGTTGACTGATAGGCAACACCTTAAAATTAACATATTAGTTCATGTTAATTATCACCTTAGTAAGCGGTTCAATTCACAATTTAAAAAAAAAACCTATAACATCTCAAACCCGGTCTCCAGGATGGGATGACTAATTTTTTTTTTCTAGTAAGCTTATCCATTTCATTGCCATATTTTGCATCTCTTGATAGTTTATTTATATTCAATTAGGAGAACTATTGTATTCTATTTATAGATCAATATTGTAGTTTTTATTCTGACTCTTCGTTCCGCTTCAAGTGTAAGAATAAAGCGAGAGCAGACCACACTTAAGAAAATCAAGTATGTATACAATTTTAAGAAACTCAGTATCGAAAGAAACAATTAAGTTATTTAAAGTATAATGAAATAGTATTTTTAGAGTAGAAATATTTTAAAGAGGTAAATTGGGCTAACATTGCGAATTTCAGTTTACTGGAGTTTTTGCACTATTTCTGATTTTTTTTTTTCAATTTAAAAATTAGTTTTTTAATGTAAACAGTGCTCATTATTTATGCTTCACTTCTTTACATATGTGCATTTAATTTTTAACTTCAAATGCTATTATGGCTATTATGTCTTTTACTACTATTAAAACTTGTAATTTTATCTTTAACACAATGTATAATTTTATGCTTGATACAAAAATGAAAAATATTATTCTGAAGCTGTTCATTCAAAAGGAAAAAATCATCTTATTTTTCAATCGAGAGAAACGATAATTTCAAAAGTCAATTTCTTATTCTCCATTTTCTGTAACATATTCTATTGAAAGTAAATTTACGGAAAAAATGCAGTACAGCTGCATACTTGCTTAAATTTTGCGAAACTGAGACAGGTAGGGTTCCATGTCACCTAGCAGCCCTAGGTTTTTTCACGCCTCGACTCGACCATTTATAACGCTTATAATCGCAATACCTGGAAATCAACACCATATTTGGCATGACAACCCAGGGGAAACCAAATCCTTCTGTTAAAATCCCTCCAGTACGGCCGATTTCTAGACCTAATTTGCCAATTCCTCGCTCTGAAATCTGATTCAAAAGAAGTGCTGCTTGATCACCCAGGATAAGCCAAATCCTTTTGTTAAAGATTATTCCAGAATAGCTGATTTCTAGGCCAAATCTGCCAGTTTCTCACTATCTAGAATCTGATTCAAAAGAAATGAGCCACTGTAGCATAACTCATGAAAAGCCAAATTCTTCTGTTAAAGATTCCTCCAGAACAGTTGATTTCTAGACATAATCTGCCAGCATGACAACCCAAGACAGAGCCGTTTCTAAGGATGGGCCCAGGACCCCGAGTTCTGATGGGGCCGCGAAAAGTCTAAAATCTTATTGTATTAATTGTTTTTTTAATTCTAGCTCATTTACTTTTTATAACTTAAGAGGGCCCTCAGATACCCCTTTTTTTCTTCTTTTTTTTAAAGTTTTGTTCGTAGCTGGGGCCCTCTGAAGCCCATAATACATTTTTTTTCTTTTTTACATTGGCGGACGCTTTTTAAACTCTAATCAGAGTGTTTACGAATAGAAAATAATTGTTACTCTTCTTTTTTCCAACCAAAAGAGCAATAAAACGCTCTTTCCACTGATGAAAATATCCCCACTTTCGTAGCTACCACCCACAGAGTTGTCAAATAGCCGTCTCACTTTACACTGTGGAATATGTTTTTAGCCTTTTTATATTGCCTTGGGCTCTTTTTTTCTAACTTAAGAAATATCAGATATCCACAGAAACACCCTTTTGTCTGATTTCTGGTCATAAATTTCTTGGAATAAATACTCTAAGACAGCGGTTTCCAATTATTATTTAGGTTTCCCTCTACGGAACCCTAAATAATCAGTCATCTATGGCGGAACCCCGACATTATGATTAAAGTTTATCAAGGTAATTGCGAACGTTATAGCCTAAAAAACAGACTATTTTTAAAATATTTAATTAGAGGAATGAAGATTTTTCATCGTTTTATCATTAACAATCTTAAATAAGGTTTTATATCCAACAATTAAATTTGCAGTCCTTGTGCTATATCTAGTCTAGTTTTGAATCTATTTTTGGTGTATAAGCTCACCGGACAAAAAATTAGTCACCCTAGTGCGCAAGCATCGATGAATCGTTAGATTTCGTTAAATGACGCAGTGTTCAAGTGATGTGCTCAACTGCGTGCACACTGCTTCAACGTGATCAAAGGCAAGTAGCTATCAGTGAGATATTTTTATTTAAAGTGGAAATTGTGTGTAAATATGGGTAAATGTAAGGACGTGATAGAGTGGCAAAAAGGGGGAATTGTGTTCGGCTGTGCCCATGGTCATACGGAGAATGAAGTTGCTGGATTTGTTGGTGTTTCGATGCGTACTGTTCAACGTGTCTACAAGCAGTGGTGTAATACACGTGGTCACGAAAGACGACGTCAGAATTGTGATCGGAAAAAGGACCACAGACGAGTTTCACGACTTGTCAATCAAAATCTTTTCCGAACCCGACAGGAATTGCTTCAGTTAGTAAATGAAGGTCCATCCCAACCTGTTAGTGAGAAAATATTGCGACGGGAGCTGAATTCAATGAACATTTGGAGTCAAACATCTCGTAAGAGGTCACTGCTCATGCATGGCACATAAAGCTGCGGGACTTCAGTGGGCTAGAAGTCACCGGACGTGGACAGTTGCTGACTAGGGGAATGTAATATGGTCTGACAAATCACGTTTTTGCCTTTATTCAAATAACGCACGTCGTCGAGTGCTACGAAGAGCAGATGAAGCATTTCATCTTGACTGTGTGCAAGATCAAGCTCAAGCCAAAGGTGGGTATGACATGTTTTGGGGATGCTTTTCATATTTTGGATTGAGCCGCTTCACTGAGGTGGCCACTAACATGAACTAACATGTTTATTTGAGCATTCTGGATGATTAGATGTCGCTTTTCAGTCAACATCTTCTTGAGGAGTGCGTTGTCGATACCCCTATTTTTCAAGATGACAACAGCTAAGTTCATCTGGCTGGAAGACTATGTAACTGGTTTTTTGAACATTCAGACCCCCAATTACATCTCGACTGGCTTGCAAAATCACCTGACTTGAACACCATTGAAAATTTGTGGGATATGATGGAACAACGGGTGAAACGCCGAAATCAGCATCCTCGCAATTTTGTGCATTTGCGAGATCAAATCTTCATTGAGTGGCTTATACTGGATACGACGTACCTGCAAAACCTTGTGGACTCACTTCCCAACCGAATCCAGACGGTTATCGAATCCAGAGGCGGTGTTGCACGGTATTAAATGATGTTTTTCATGATTTGTCTAAGGGTGACTAATTTTTTGTCCGGTGAGCTTATATATAAGCTGAAAATGAATAAGACAAACTGAATTATGGTTTACTTCTAAATGAACTGAAGATACTTGTTATAAACGTTAAAAATGGTAATTTAGAAAGCATTTTTCTTCGAAAAAGAATTTAGCTGTTTTATTTTAATTTGAAAAGTGCGGTATGAAATACAAATGTAATATTTTATAAATGCTTTTTCTTTTATTAATTCGCTCAACATTCAGCATATTGTTTTTAGAATTTTTTTTTTATTTAAAAAATGCCATTTCTATTTAATTGGTATTTTACTTCAAATAAGTTAATAAAGGAAACCGAAAGATCATACAAGATTTGATTTATAGGTTGGATCTAAATTTAATCAGAGATTATAAAAAGTACTAACTAGAAGTTATAAGAGTATTCATCCCCGGTTATAAAAAGTATTAATTCGCGAAACCTCTTCAACTCGTCCCGGAACCCTAAAGTTCCATAGAACACAGTTTGGAACTACTTCTCTAAGGTATCATGATAAAATTACCAAAATGCCTACCGAACTGGATGGTAAAAAAACTATATTTTTATTATGCTAACTTCATGAGAAGTCATAACCAAATCAGCTACTGAAAAAAAACTACCTTGTTTTTTGATGCTCCCATAAATACCGTAAATTTTACTATATTCTAATAGTTTTGACCATGCTATCTTTTCTCAGTGCTGTCAGTACCACATTTCATAAAAGGTACTGTACTGCCGCATGCAAACAGATGTGTTTTTCTCAAAATTTCAGAGGGTCTCCTATTTTGACACTTCAAATTTTTAAAAAAATTATTTTTTTCGCAAAATTGAAGGGGAAAAAAACACGTGTGTCTAAAAGCTATACATAAAGAACATATCTGGAAATTTTCAACAAAATCAAGAATGTCAAGTATCCAAATGACTTAATTTATTAAATTTTTAAAAAAAATATCCGCAAGGCAGGTGTGTATATATAGTTGTGCTGATGATTATGAAATCTAACACAAAACTGTGAGATCGTGGCTTCTATTCCATCTGATGACAGTTTTTAATTAATATTTCTCAATACTGAAAAATGTTTTTGTTATTTTTTTTAAAGTATGCATGTTAAAAACTAATAATTTAACAATTATTTAGAAAACTAGAAAGCTCCATCCCCTGTTCATTTTGCTCACTAATCCTCGTGGCTGCTTCTCATTAATCATTGCAGATTAAGAGGAAAAATAGTTTATTTTTCCTTTTTTTTTCTACAAAAATTACGATTGAATTGATATTTACATTTAGATGACTAAATTTGGGCAAATCAATAAAATTGGTACCAATAAATAAAATTGGAAAATTGATACCTCCCGCAGAGATATTATTTACTGAAGATGGACTCAAGGGATTGAGCATTCTCCTCCGAATGAGGTGCACCAAGTTTGAATCCCAGTGATGGCTGGTCGGTATGAATTCCACACCCGACTTACACCGACCACTGTGCTGTTGTAAAATATTCTCAATGGTAGGCGTATCATGGGTTAGAGTCCCCTTAGTGTCAGACTAACCGTGGGTGGCTTTCGTGGTTTTCCTCTTCATGTAACTCAAATGCTGGTAAGTTCCATCAAAACGTCCTCCAAGTAGGAAAAAATTTCTCGACATCAAAATTACAAGGGTAGAGAGTTGAACATTAGTAGCCATAAACTCGAAATTGTGTGGGCTGTTCAATGACTGTTATTAAATAAACTAATAATTTAGCAGCGATAGCTTTGTTGGTAGAGCTATGGGCTCGTATTCGTGAGAATTGGAGTTCGAATTCAGCAGGCCGAATAATACCCATGTATAAAATGGTGACTGGTGCATGTTAAAATCTGCCTGGGTCACAAACTCCACCAAGTTCTCATAACAATTCAATACCTCTGCGTACTGATCCAGGAGTTCCCTTGTCTTCTGGATTGGTTTTAAAATTACGAGACTACGTAGTTAAACACTGGTAGTCGTAAACTCAAAATTAAGTCGGTTTTTTAGCGGCGATTTTTAAAAAAATGAAACTATTAATCAAATTGTATTTTCTTGTATTCTTTCTAACTCCTTACATATTTTATATACATCTTCATAATTCCATGCTTCTAAGTCTAATAGATTTTGAGCAGCAAAGCAAAATGAAACGTACAGAAAAAAAATTTGAGAAAAAAGTCAATTAAAATTGCAAATAACATATAGTACAGATATTCAAAATTTATAAAATAAAAAAAATTTTAAAAATCAATAAATTCAAACATTTCAAGTATTATTCGGCTCAGGAGAATAAGTTAAGACAATTAGGCATAAATGACATGCATAAAATAGTGGAAAACAATAATCACGAAGATAAATTTCCAAACATTGACATTTCATTTCAAATTTTTTTGTCACTCATGATAACTAATTGTAGTAGCGAACATTCATTCTCCAGACTAAAATTAATAAAAAATGAGTTAAGAAATAGTATGACTCAAGAAAGATTGAGTCATTTGTCAATTATGAGCATTGGATATGATGTCTTACAGGAAATTGATTTTGATGATATGATGGAAGACTTCGCCTCTCAAAAAGAGCGAAAAGTATTGCTACCTTAAATTTTTGATAAAAATAATATAAGCTTTTATAATTAATTTATATGTTTTTTGCACTAAAAATAAAATAATTTTTAAAAATTATTCAAAATTAATATTTTTTCCTCTAAATTTAGTTATAAAGGGCCCCTCCCCTGTAAACATAAAAACGGCTCTGACCCAAGATAGGCCAAATCCTTCAGTTAAAGATTCCACCAGAAGAGCCGATTTCTAGACCTAATCTGCCAGATCCTCGCTATCTAAAATCTGATTCAAATTAAACGAGTAATAGTAGTTTTCGGCTTCCTCTTTCCTCTTGGTGAAAAAAAATTCACCGATCTTTTTACCAGATATTTTCATTCATTTTAGCAACATAAGATAGACCCAGTTCATTTTAATAATACTTTTAACAATATTTGGCTTTCTAAAATTCCTAAAGAATTTTCCTTAGAACCTTTCTTTCTAAAACTGCAATTGTCCATTTTTTGTAAGGAAATTAATTTCTGAACCAAACATTAAGACCAGCCTAATGAGAAATAATACCCAGAAATAAAATTATGTGCGTATTTTATCATAGCTCTAATTAGATTTGTTCATTTATTCAGCACGATTCTTCAATTCATTGAAAAAAAGCTTAAAAGTGGAATCTGAAGAAAATAAAACAACGATATAAATCTGATCTTTCAATCATTGCTATTCAAATAATTAAAATTGTTAATAAAAAATAATGGGCGCAAAAATGAGGAATGATTGATTGATAGATGTAACAAAAAGGACATTCAGGATTATACCTACTCATTTCGAAACATTAAGATTCCTTTACATTGCTACAAAAATACCTCAGTTTTAAAATTCCTTAACATCTTTCAGAATTTTTGAAATTGTGAAAGTACTTACTTAAAATTTTATATTCATATCAGAAACTGTGTACTTGCATCAATGTCTTAAGATTTTTATACAAAAATACTTCTGAAAGTTTTAAAATTTCTTAACATCGTTCCAAACTTTAGTAGGATCTTATAGTCAGAGTGCTCAGTTAATGATTTCAATGTATTTCAGAAACTGGGCTCGTGGATCAATGTCTGTAATGTGCTTACTAGGTCTGACTTGGTGTTTGGGCCTTTTTTATATAGACAGGAAACTACAAGTATTTTCTTATATTTTCACAATTTTCAATGGATTGCAGGTTAGTTTGGAAATTTTTATTGTCCATTATTTTATACTTTGCATTTTTGTCTCTAGAATCTCTGTTATAGATCAGTAAAATATCTTAGTTATATATCTTAGATTTATGATTGCGTGAGCAAAAAATTTTTAATTCCTTTAAAAAAAATAGCCCACTAGAATTGGGTAGAGCCTCTCAACTGTATTGTTTTCTCTGTAAATATTTGCCTCATCTTTCGCTGCTATTCGAAGCCAGAAAGTAGGTTCAACCGGTTCTTTTACGTAAAAAGCGGTACTCTGAGAGGATCAGGAAAGCTTTGAAACTGGCATTTGTTAAGATTTCGAACAAAGTTGAGACAAATATTAACATTTTGGCTGTATGCTCGTTTAGCAGTTAACTTCAAGACGTCTTGAAATGAAAAGTTGTCTATGCATGAGACATAGCAAAATGCACAAAAAGTAAAATTAACATTAATTGGTCCAAACTTTTAATTGCTTTCCTGAGCAAACTATTGGGACCATATTTTCCAGATTGCGGCTACCCCCCTCCCCACACCATATTTCGAGGATCAGAAATCCCTCAAAAAGTATGTTCATTCTGAGAAAGTACGTTTTTGAGTGTGATTTCGTAACTTAAAATAGTGCCTGTGCTTTAAGGTTAGCCCCTCAAACCATTAAAGATGGAATCTTAGTACGTGAAAATCCAATCATTAAATCAAAAATTATTCAGGGAGTTCCATATTTTTTTGTGCACTGAACATTTGTATGTAAGCAAGCAGTGCCCGAGTACCAATGTTGTACAAATTTTGTAGTACAGCAACAAAAATTTACTAAACTACAAAAATTGTACTGCAATACGATTTCTTGTAGTTGTTATTACAACTATCCAAAGGACTTTTTCTTCACATGAAATCTTTAGTGTATGTGAGGCCTGCAGACTTGGATAGTAAACTGGTAGCAAGACCCATTGATGCCTTAGACAAAATTAAAGCAACATCAAGAATTTTCAAGGTTGTCTAGACATTCCTGTAGAATGAATGATATGCATCGCAGATCGAAACTTTGACAACTTTTCCTCTGATCAATAAATCAGATTATATAATTTTGGAATCATTCATTCGCTTTACAAACATTGCTGTAAAAGGTTCTAAAAATTCTAATTCAAAGTCTTAAATTGAAACCCTAATTTTTTATAGCAGATTTAAATTTTACAGAAAAAAGTATCTCGATTTAATGTACAGGTTGCAGCATTTTGGTTCACAGATAGTGCTGTATTCGCAAAAAATAAATGAGGTACAAATTGTTTGAAATTTGGAGTATCTCAAGGAATGCATGTGAGATCAAAAATTTGAAAACATGTGTTAGATATTTTGAAAAACCTATCTAATAACACTTAAATCGACCCTTGCTTCATCATTTCATACACATGATTAATCATTGAGGTTACAACAAGTCCCTGTGGGTGAGGATTAGTTCGAAAGTGGGAAGCAAGCTCTGAGTCATTAGATATATATCTCAAAACATCAAACATGTCTATTTTTATTTTGATAAGACATACATTTATCGAGATCACTATTTTGACAAATTTGCACCCCAAACCTAAAAAATATTTCGATTACAGCTCTAACAGCAATTAAAATGCAGCAAACTAAGTCCAATTGAGGTGAGTGTATGTAAGTATGTGTGTGTATATATATAATAGGTATGTATGTATACATATAGGATGTCCAAAAAGTATAGAAACAGCCAAGAAAGAAGCATTGGATCAAAAATACACGTGTGAAATATTTATATACGAAGATCATTTATTATCATCCTGATCATCTATAATCAGTGATATAAAGGAAACACCTTTATGTCACCTCTGTCATGAGTGCAGGTTAAGGGTGATTTTGGTTTTGAAGTTGATGTGTAAATTATCCAAATCTCACTGGTGTCAAAAGCAAGTGAGAAGATTAAGAATGAAACTGTTTTTTTTCTTCAATGCATTACAATAAATGTGAAAAGATTCCTTATCAAAATTATATTATAATTGTACTTAACTAAATCTATTAAATGTTCTAGGGAGTATTCATATTCTTATTCCATGTGCTCCTAAATGAAAAGGTTCTTAACTGGAGTGGCAACAAAAGTTGTTGGAAAAAGGTAATTATCTAACAAATCATGCCTTCTTAAGAAAAGCAATGCATTAAAAAATTCTTATTTTCATGAATTGTAAATTGTAAGAATGGTGTAAATTTCATAAAACTAACACTTTATAAAATATTTGTTACTTAGAGAACAAATATTTTTTTTTAAAGTACAACTAGATATCAAAACTATTTAACATTTTTGTTTGCAATGTTTCTATTAGAAATTTTTGCTTTTTTTATAATTTTATTACTTTTCTGAAGAAGGCATAAAGTGTAGAAGTCCAGTTTATGTTTTTGCATTTATTTGTTTTATCATTTAATGCTTTATTGTATTTTATTTCTCTTGCTATCTTTTATAAATTACTGTTTAACTATAGTATGACATTCTAAACATGACGATCAAATTAATGTTGTCCTTTGTTGTCTTTTGTTGACAGATGAAATTTCTTCTTCAAAAATTTGTACAAAATCAAGTTGCTGATATTAAAATGAATTAATTTTAACTTAAATTAAAACTTTGATTTGTATAACTTAAACTGCCAAGAATCCCTTTTCAATATTTTTTGTATAGTCATATTATTCAGTTGAGAAATGGAAATTTGTGTTTTTCACATAACCAGTCAATATTATCTTTCACCACTTTTAAAAACTAATCAACAAAAATGGTGCTGAGAGAAAGCAATTTTCTTGGAAAATTTGAGTTACACACAAATTAATAAGTATTTCCTACATAAAAATTAATGACCAAAATTATTTCCAAAAAGTACAAATGACTTTCTGTACCTATAAAATATTTAAACTAATATGCATACCATCTTATTTTTTAAAGTATTCTCAGCAAACATCGAGCAATCAGTTGCACAGCAAGTTATCAACAAGAACAAGCGTGAACAGTTTAGGGTGTGCATCAATGGCCCATACAAGACAACCATCCAATCTGACACCACATCGCAAGTCAAGTAGAGAAAATATAAATGCATATAGAGCAAAAATAAAGGGTAAAAAAAACTGGAACAGTGAAAATTTTAAATCCAAAGAGAAAGCAACTCACACAGTATCAGAAAATGGAATCTCAAATTTCCATCCGCAACGTCGATATAAAACAAGATCTCAATCATTCCCGGAAGATGCACACGATTACAATAATATAGAATATATCACAAGAAATAATAATAATAGAACATCTGTAAGGAATTGTTTACAGTGATATGTTTATGGAAAAAAGGCACTGTGATGTATTTTAGATGAATTTATGTATTTAGATGCATTTTAGTCTTTCTTGTATCTATTAGAATTTTTATTAAAATAAAAAAAGTATTATTCTTTACTTTTTTCTGATGTTTTTATACAATAATTTTGGGCATAAAAATTATGCTAAAAAATTCAATAAATAAAAAGAATTAAGCCTTAAAATGTCATTTAAAAAAATTGCTGTTGATACAATCATATCAAAAATTATATTATTTTGGCAACAACATCAAAAATCATATTAATTTAGCAAATTAAAGATTGTCTATTTCAAAATACAGTTAAAATAATTTTTGATAACAGATTTCAAAATAAAACTTTCCTGTTTTTTTATGTTATAATATAATTTTTTGTCTTTTACAATTTGTGTGTGGAATTTAAAGCCAACTAGTACTTATATTATTTCCAAACATGCGGTGAAATTCTAAAATCAATCACATTTTAACATTTTCAGCTATATTAAAATTTGGTACTCAAGTCCTTCCTAGATAATCTTTAATCCCTAGAATAAGAATCAACATTCAGGTAGATAAAAATTAAGAGTTCAATGAAGTGCATCACACTCCAAAAATACAACTTTCAGAAATTTTAAATTTTCTCATTATTTGTCTATCAACAATCCACATAAAGCCTTAGGTTAAATTCCTTGCTAGTAACAATAATCTAATGTTAACTTTTCCTTACAACATACACAAAGTGTTATATAAGGCTCCACCACTTAATGCAGATTTTAGTTTCTTTGTCTAAACATTAATTATTATGAAACGCTATTGGACAGATCTAGGCACTTATGAACCAAAGATTAACACAATCTAAAGTAATGAGGTGGGGACCACAGAACCAATTGACTTAGCATGCATGTCAATGAACCCTTGAGTTAATTAAAAATAAATGAAAGCAGTTATAAATAATAATTTTATCATTATTTACAATGTGAAGTTATCACAAATGGTCTATATATTAATTAAATACATCAACAATAGTAAATTTTTTATGAACATCACAGCTATATTATTTTTTGTTCATCAACATACTGATGAAGCTCAGCCACAATTCAATGTCCGTACATCAAAAAGTTTCTATCATCTAGTTTGATTTATATCAGTGATGAAATATAAAATTACAAGAGTAAATAAGCAATGAGTATATATTGCCTCTTTTTCATGACATTTATCACAAATTCCACAATTTTATAATTTTTTGTAAGGAAAATTTGGCCATTGCAAAACTATTTCCTATACATGCGTGCTACAGGGTGTTTAAAAATTTTTAAATGGAAAACGGTTAAGGTTAAAGAAATAATTATTGCAACAATTTATGTGACAGAACATAAATGTTTTTTTTCAAGAGGTCCTCGTTTTAATTCATAACTGCCAGATGATGTAGCAGATAATAATACTTATAAATCACAAAAAGAGAAAAATATTAATAATTGTAAAAATTACATCAAAATTTTTTAAAATTTCTAGTGAATAAAAATCAAAACATATTCTAAATATCCACCGTACATAAATAGCATTAATATACATTGCGCAAAAAAAAAAACGGACCACCCTGAATAACTTTTAACCTAATGATCGGATCTTAACGTTCTAAAACTCAATCTTAATGATTCAAGGGGGTAACCTCCAATATGCTTAATTAATTAGAGCAGACGATATTTTAAGTTACGAAATCAGACACAAAAACCTACTTTCTCAGAATAAACATACCCTTTTTTTCAACGAATTCGGATTTCTGACTCCCAAAATATAAGGTCTATAAGCAATCTGGGAAATATGGTCCAAACAGTTTTGTCAGGAGAGCGGAATGATCCAAACTTTGGAGACCATATTTCCCAGATTGTGGATACCCCCTACATTTTGGGGGCCAGAAATCAAAAATTGTTTTTTTAAAAAAAGGCATGTTTATTCACAGAAAGTACGTTTTTGTGTCTGATTTCGCAGTTTAAAATATCGTCTGCACTAATTAATTAGCATATTTGAAGTCACCCCCTTAAACCATTAAGATTGAGTTCTATAACCTTAAGATCCGATAATAAGATATTCAGGGTGGTCCATTTTTTTGACGCACTGTACTATGCATTTGAAATGTTATCAGCCATAAACACATGTAACACACACAATAGAAAGAACTGTAGTAAAGACTTGCCACACTATCTGTTTAAAACTTTATGAACTAAAACCAATATTCTGAGAGGCAAATTAATGCTCTGTCACTGTTTAACTGTCAGTCTAACTAATAACAATAGAAGTCCCTTTTTCATCTGGGAATAATCCATTTAAAATGGTATACAGAATGATGTCATAAGTAAAAATGAATGGTGTCACTAGTTTGAAGAGACGGTGAATAGTGCTATTTGTTTAAAAAATAATAATGAATTTTCAAAGACAATAGAACCAATAAATAATGTTGATGACCTTGGTAAGTAGTTAAAAAACATGAATATCCTAGAGGTACTAATTATACAATACTGCAGTTACCCCCCCCCCCCAAAAANAAAAAAGAGTTAAATAAACATGCCCAAATTGATTGTTCAAAGAATTTAATACCAAAATCTACTGATGCAATAATCTTCTAGGAATGATATAGGAAATAGTAAAGGTGTTGACCTTTTATGTTTAAAACCAAAAGAATAATTTTTTCATTTATTTTTTAGATGGTTTCTTTATCTTATAATAGGAAGAACACTGTTAAAAACAGAGCTGTGAAGTTGGACCAGGAGAAAATTTTGAATGAGTTGGAGTTGAAGAATTTGCTTGACTGTAAATGGTCAAAAGTTAAGTCTAATAGGCCAAAAAATAAAACAAAATTTTCGATCTTATGAAGATTATTTAGATAAGTTCTATAATTAGCATACGAGCAAAAACAATGCTCAAATGAGTATTGTGATAATTATTTAAATTATAACATATCACAAATTTAATTATTTCATTTGAAGGTTCTTGATCCTATGTTTGAAAGAACAATTAAAACCTACATAAATTCCAAAATCAAATTTACTTAACTCTTTTGATAAGTTAATTATAAACATATGCAAATGAGAAAGTTAATTAAAAGATATTCTGTGTATCATTTGCAATAGTTTCTTAATTCCAGAATATTTTGTAAAGAATCTTCTTGTAATAAGATGTTAACAAATGTGTAAGTAGGCATACAAGATATTGATATCTAGCTTTTATAAAGATTTTGCATAATTTCAGTGCTCTGCACAAGTATATTTCCTAAAGTGAATTTCTTTAAATATTATGAAGTTAATATTCTTTATATTCTTAAATATTCCAAAATATTCTTTAAATAATATGAAGGGTAATTTTATATAAAATATATTTATCTAACGCACATAAAAAATAAAAATATATAATTTGAAATAGCAATTTATTTTGTTATATTTTCTGAGGATTTTAAAAATTTTAATAGAGTATAAGTTGGAGTTAAAAGTCAAACGTTTCAACTACTGACTCCACAGCTCTGGTAAGAGATAAAGAAACTAAAATAAAGTAAGTAAAACAATTCATTCAAGATGAGATTTCAGTATGTTTATTTATAAAATGTCTATTAATAGAACTTATTTTATGAAAACACTCAATCAAAATTAATTTTTATTTGAATACATTTTACTTTTACTACTATATAATAAATATAAAGCCTTATTAAAAGGCTTGATAATTTAGCTTTCCTTTAACTTAGATATATTAAAAATAATATTAAGGATTTAAAATTTATTAAAATAAATCAATTTTTAGTAACATGTGAAGACTATTATTATAGATATTGTTTGAGAGTGATTCTTCAGAAGGTGTGACATTCAAAAGGAGAAAACATGATTTACAAAATATTTATTAAATACCAGTTATTAATAAAATTAATCTACAAATTATTGACTATCTGGAAACATACTTCAGTATGCACTATACATATGTTTGATAAAGCAATTAATTTTTATACTAATTGAGACAAAGCAAAACATCACTACCTTTGGTTACCCTTGAGTATTTCTTCTTTATTTGTTGTATAAATTCTTTCAAAATAAAATTAAATAACGTAAAAACAGTCAGCAGTTGAATTTTAAAAATTTTTGCTCAAAAATTTACCTATTAAAATGTTATAACAACAAAATTTTACATCAAAGACAGAGAGAATTGCTTGTTTTATTTAAAAATGTAAATTTTTCCCCCAAAAAAATATATTAAACTAACTTAGTTTACTCATAATTTATACCAGGATTTTACATAAATAGCACAGAAATTTTTCAAGTAAATTTTAAACTTTTGTGTTCCATATACATATTTTTAATTTTTTACTATTTCATGATTAAGGGACAGTAAAGATTGCTACAAGATAGGATACCTAATAATAAAAATGAACTCAGAAAGCAATTAATTTCAATTCATTTTGCCATTTTAAGGCTATTTTTACTAAACACTAATAGAAACACATTGGAAATTTTTGTTTTTAAAAAGCAAGTAGTTGTTTCAAAAGATTCTAACTCAAAATTCTGGCTGATACAAAGCATGATGGTGCAACAGTTGTTTTATATAACTTAATTTACATGAACCTTTTTTTTCTGGCTCTGAAGGCAAATAAAATCTTGTTTTAAATCTAATGCTAAAATTTAGAGCAGTTTATCTTGGTTAATTTTTTAAAAAGTCTTAGATACCAGGTATCCTTATATACATAGTCAAACATTCATCTTATCAATACGAAAGTAAGTAGTAGAACTTGATATCTGTGGTGTAAACTGAAACATATACATCAGACATATCTGTTGTAATGCATGTAAAACTACTCAGATACCTCAGCACATGCATAGATAGAAATAAATATAATACTCCCATACTACAAATTAAGTGTTTTGATAAAAAAAAATTAAATAAATAAATTATTCAATATTTTCAATTTTACTCATTACCTAAAAATATTTTTATTTTGAAAATATATTATGTGAAGAGAATAATGAAAATCATTAGCAAATATTATAGTCACTTTGATAATCATTTTTGTCCTTAACATAACATACTTTTAAAAGGATAGTGACAGAAGTAGAAGTAACAGTATGATTTATTCTTATTATCTGGTTCATTATGTAGCACTTTAGAGGATTATATAATAATATTAAAAATGAAGGACTGAAACAGTCTAAGGGACAGCATTTCTGCAACCTTCACATTAAACAACAAAATATAGGCAAAATATTTTTAATATACTTTGCACTTACATTTAAAATTTATTTTTAATATCTAAAGTTAAGGATAGGGGACAGAAGTTATATTTTTCACAAAGATAAATGGTTAATCACAATAAACTTAATGTTTTTAAAATGCGTAATTGGAAAACGCTAAAAGCTTAAAAAAAGAAAACTCTTTTAAAGAAAAATAAATTGCATAAATGCAAGGGACGCAAATATCACACTTTCATGAGCTTTTATTTTTTTTAAAAGAGTGAAGAATCTAATAGATTCAAGCACCCACTAAATAAAGTACCTACTAGACTGATAGGGTATTTTACTTGCTGTTATGACCTCATAGAATTTTGAGACTGATATCAGTAAAAACACAATGAGAATAAATATAGGAAATCACTTCATATAAATAATTTCTTGTATTTATCAGGTAATTCTTTATGGTCAATACCTCTTAAACCATTTTAAATATAATTAGAATAAAATTAAAGAGAATTATATGAGCAAAAGTATAATGCTATGTGATAAATTTCCTATATTTTATTTTAAAAAAAAAAGGCATAATCAAGCCCATAACCAAGGGGGCTGGTAAGTGTGAACCCCCCCCCCCCTAAGTAGAATGAAAAGATTTCCAAATTAAGTTTAATTTGGACACGTGCTTTTGAACATGTTCAAATCTTCCACAAACTGCTGAATCAGAAAATCTTTAAATCACTAAATTAATAAATGAGTATAGTACTTGCAAAGAGTTGACGTTCCCCCTTGGAATAGAAATTCTGACTATGGTCCCGGGTATAAAAAGAGGGGAATTTGATAAGAAAATTTTTGTTCAATAAATTATATATGTTATTAAAGTGAAACAGAAATCCATAATGAAACTTAGATAAATACCTCCCCAAGACAAAATCATAGAAATTAAAATGCAGAGAGAAACAAACAATAAAATACCACTACAAAAATATCGCATAAGAGTCCATGTATTGTTCTGCTGCCACAATGCATTTGAAGAGTTGAGATATTTTCCAATTTCTGAATTTCTAAAAATAAATCAATAAAATTTTATACACATTCAATAAAAAATTTATACATTTCAAATATGATCTCAGCTCTTTTTACATAATAAACATGAAGCAAAACAAATAAAGTGGACAATAAGAGATAAATGATTTTTAATTAACCACAAATAGTAATGAAACATAAATTATTTTGATGTAAAAAAAGAAAATAAGCCAAGCAGGTAGAGAATATCAATTATACAATAATTTTTTTTATAATTTAGAACTACACTAGATAACACACACAAAATTGCTAGTTGAATAACAGAAAAGTTCAGAAAGATATTGTCTTTCTGAATAATTATTCGCCACAAACTTAAACTTTTAATCATAAATTGCAGAATAATCATACTGACTAACATCAAAACTATGAACTACATATTTGTAATATAATAATATAGCCAGGGTGTGTAGCCAGATTTTTCAACAAAAAAGCATCTTTTAAGTACATTTTAGGCACTCAAAAAATATTTTTAATCACTTTCCAAAAAAAATCATAATCAGGATCTGTACAGTATTTAAAAAAATTTCAATTGTTTAAAGTTTTTAATTTACAAACATAAAATCAATAAAATTAAAAAAAACTTTACATAATTAAATAACTAGTTTCTGATAAAATAATTAGTTTCTGATAAATATTGCAAAGAAAATTGTGAAAATCATGCATTTTTTGTAATTTAGAATGACAATCGCTACGGCAAAGAAAAAAAATCGCTTTTTCAAAGATAGAAAATTAAGCATAAAAAAGCACCCTTAAAACGTTACGCACCCTGATACCATATTCATACCTCCTTTGCCTGCAAGAAAAATCTTTACTGGCCAAGCATCTCACTTATATGGACTATATATAGATTAAAAAATTAACTTCACCTAAAAATACTGTTACATCCTTTTCATTACATTAAATAGTGTTTACTAGCTCAATTATCCATAAATTTCAAAAGAAGGTAGAAACACATAGAAAGAATGCTTAATGTTCAAGCACAAAAACTCAAAATGTTACAATTGCTTTATTGTAAAAGTGGGTGTGATTATAAGATCAGTAGAATCGCTGCATTTCGGAAAGAAAAAAAACACTAAAGTGCTATGCTCAAGTCTTTTCAAAAGGGTGACAAGTTAGGGATGATTAATCAAAAGTGAATGCAGTATGGGGATCTTGCTTTTGCTCTCCTTTAGAAAAACATCTCCTGGAAATTTTTACCATTACATTTTAAGAGCAATTGCATAAAAAACTGAATTATCCACATTTTTTAACATTATTTTTATACAGAATAATAAGGGGAGAAAAATTCATATTATCCTGAAATTTAAAATATCCACATTTGACTATAATTACATAACAATTTTTTCTGTGGAAAAATATTTCGGTTTCTAAAATGTGCTGATACTGGCTAAAGGAGTGAGAGAAAATGTTGTCTCCATGGAATTAACAAAATAAAGCTAGTATGCTTTATATATCTTTATGTATCTTATGTAGCTTTTTATATCTAGGTGGACATAATATGCCCACCTAGATATAGATATATAAAGATGATTCAAAATTACAAATCAATAGAAATAATTAATAAGTATATTACATACTTGATAATGTTAACTATATTCCCAGCATAAGAGACTTCTTCTGAAGAATCATCAGATAAATCTACTAATTCAAGAGGACTATTAAAAAAATGAAAGAATTATTCTCGAAATAAATCATTAGTAACATTAATAATAAGCAAGATAGAGTTGATCAGTAACTTAAACAATATAATATTATGTTATATAGCTATATGCTAAAGTTATATAGTAATCAGAACGATGTTGTTAAGTAATAAGTATAGTTTCAAACTCATTTGTAGCAATTTAAAACAAAAAATACATTATTTCAAGTATTCATCATTCAAAAAATTATTTTCTTAGAAAATCACCACAATAAGAAAAAAAAACTAAAAATATAGAGCCAGAGCAGTCCAGCTATTATAAAAAATTATATTTCGCTATCTGCTAAAAATATTTTTCTATCTATGAAAAATATTTTGATAAGTAAGAAAGTTCTTATTTATCTATAACTCAGATTAATTAAGATTGATATCGATAACTCAGAAATTTGTTCCAATTTTAAATTATATTTTTGAAACATTTTTTTTGTTGCAAATAAAACAATAATAAAGAAATTGGAACAGCTGAATAACTTTTGATCAAATGATTGAATTTTAAAGTACTAAGATGTAATCTTAATGGTTTGAAGATCTAACCTTACTTATGCTCATTTATTTGTGCAGATGATTTCAGGCCCAAAATAAAACACAAAAATAAACTTTCTTTAAATAAACAAAAAGTATTTGGATTTTTGACCCTCAAATATTAGGATGGGGGTAACTGCAATCTCAAAAATTTGGATCAAATGGTTTAGACAAGAGTGTAGTCAAAAGCTTAGACCCCTTAATATTAATTTCATTCTTTTTCTGTATAAGAACTATTTATGTAAATGGAAAAAAGTTTGAAAACAATTGTAAAATTCATTTACCCAAAGATAATATTACCATGCCTGCCTAATGCAAAAATTACATTCATTCTGATCACATTTGATTTTAAAAGAGGTTAATTTTATCTACAGTTAGAAAAAAAAAGTTTTAAAATTAAACTTACACATACACTCAAATATAAATTAATTATAATATTTATATCTTATTTCATCTGTTTTAATTTATATGACCTTTTTTAAAAAGTATTTTGCCTTTTTTTTTCATGACTGTCACAAGCATCTAACTTGAATGAAGGAAACAAAATTAAAATATATACATTTAAAATAAATTAAGGTACATATGCTGGGATATTAAACAAGACTAAGTGAATGACTAAATGAGCACATTTGAGTAAATGAACGGGCATCTGTATGAAAATCCCCTGTTTTTAGTCATAAAGAACATTTTGCATGAACAACATAGGCCATAGAACAATTTGTTTGGTTTTACAAACAAGATATTTTACAAACATGGTATTTAAAAAACTTGTAGTATGTGGGAAACATATAATTTAATTAGATTATTTTAGAAGAATGCTTTTGAAAAAAATACAGAGTTGTTATTGTGCCTATTTAAAAACATATTTCTAATCATTACTATTTTTTAACTGCACTAAAAATCATCTACCAACAACAAGTAAATGAGACTGCACCAAAAGAGTGGTGCAAAATTACTGTCTCAAATATCTAATCTGATCAGATCAAATATTTCATAACTAGATACTCTGCTACAATTTATGGATATTCTAAAAAAAGGGGATGCCAGACATCCCTTTTTTTGCAATATTGCAAAATACATGACTTCAGTTGTTTTAATTCCTCAAGAATTGCTTCTATTCCATGAAGTAGAATTTTGAGATTTGTAGAAGAAGTTAGCATTGAAAAGAACTTTATTATTTGGTTTCCCATCGAATTGTGTGCCTTATAAAAGATATAATAAGAAAAACTTACGATTCATCTTTCATTTGATAAAGAGTATTCTTTTGCACTTGTAGTAAAAACTGCACTGATTCATGATGTTGTTTACTGAGTGCTTCATCAGATTTTGGAGCCTCATCTTCGGATTGCTCTTTTTCATCAGTCACAGCGGAAAGTTTTCTAGTCCAACTATGTATAAAAATAGTATAACATTTAAAATAAAATATTCTTATAGTATTAAAGTACAAAGAGCTAAAAAAATAGCACCCTGATAAGTCCTTGGAATAGAAAAAAAATTGATGGAACAAATGGAGAAAAAAATTTTTTTAATTATTGGTTTCTGCTCAAATGGCTTAAAAATCGCTAGTTTCAAAACAACTGCAACAATTTTTCATGCTGCAACATCTTCAAAATTTTTTATTTAGTGTTAATTGCTATGGTTACATTCCAGTGGTTAAATTAGTACAAACTATTCTTGAACTATCAGAAAGCAAAAATTTTTGTTTTTAATCAAAATCTATAAAGGAGAAATCAGAATAAAAAATAAAAATTGTACAATGTGAATTCAAGCAATTGGTTAAAATTTTATATAAATATGTAACTGAAAATGTGATACTAACAAATTAATTTCAAAAATTGGATTACTAGATCAAAAATGTTATTAAATTAATTAATGAAAACTATATTCTTTAATCTATAATATTGGTCACTTTTAATTTATGGCGATCAATTAGTCACTTTTATTTTAGTGATAACTGATCATTAATCACTTTTAATAATTGTTTATTCATTATTATTTATTATTTATTTTAATAATTGTTTTATCAAAAATGCATTTAAAATTTAAAGCAAAAATATATCTAAATAATTGAAGCATGAAGCATGCTGGTCCACATTTATGAAGACACTAAGAATATCTAATGTTAAAAAAACATTTTAAAAATAATTAATATTCTGCCGCACCAACGTTTCCTTGCACACTTTGTGTCATCCAGTTGGGCATACTTTTTACAAGGATTTCTAAACAATTTACATCTTAGTCATTTCATGCATAAGTAAAAATACTTGTTTAATATTATGAATTCCCGTTTTTATGAATTTTTCTTACGCATATTCCTCAAAAATTTTCAATTATGTTTAAATCAGGAGAATTTGATGACAGATTATTATATGTGTGGGGAGAAGCCATGACTCGCTGGAATATGAAGTTTAACCTCCTAGAGGATAACCATAATACTAACAGCTGCTGTTCTAATACTTCTGCAGATATTTCGCAATACATTTTTTTTGGAATCAGTACTAAGTCTCTTTTTTCAATCGTAGAAAACCTCCACCAAAGCATTACAGAGCCTCCTTTAAATAAACGACTCCAACCAACTGTCTTTTTCTCTTCTGTCATCCTGGCAGTGTCTGAACCAATCAGGTTTGTCTAAATTGAAATGTTTTACAGAAAAAATATTACACTTTTCCAATTAATATACTCATGCATCCATTTAATAATGGCTGTTTTTACATAGGAATTTACAATATTTTGTTAAAAGTGGTTTTCTATTGAATTGTAAAAATTTTATGCAATCACAGTTGCAAAACAATTGATTTAAAAGTATTTTCATGATACCGACTTGTAATTTGTCTGGAAGACATTTTTTCACAACAGCAAGACAAAGGATGCGCATTTTATTGTGTGAAGTTACACACTTTATTTTCTCTGACTTTGCCCCTATTTTTTTATACATACATCCACTTTTATTTCTTTTTAATGCATTTTCAATACCACCTTTAGATCTTTTTAATATTTCAAAAATATTTCGAATTAAAAACTATGTAAATTCAATAATTTTTTAATTTCAATTTCAATTAATTCAGTTCCACACAGCATTTTTAAACCAATGCAAAAACAGAAAGAAAGTCATCAAAATAAATTAAAACAATATTTTTAGAGGAAGAAATTTAAATTTGCTGAAAATTAAATAACAGTTTGGAGATTTTAATGAAAAGTAATGTTACTTTCTGAGATTTTAGAGTGAGACTTAGTGGGTATATTTGGTGTATAATAATACTAAAATTTCTAAAACGTTATTACAACTGATCAATTTAATGAATACAGTTTTAAGATAATGATAGACTGCTACACTTACATATTTCTTTCTGGCTTAACGGACAAATTTTTAGGAAAAGAAACAGGTGTAGATTCCTTAGGCGATGTTTGTATATTAGGACTAGCCGAAGGTAGGGAACAACGCCTAACATTGATTTCTGAAGTATGAGTTCTATTAGGAGAAGAATCATTGTCAGGAACAACACTATTTACATCTACTGTGCTAACTGCTGAATAAGAGGGCACTTGTTGCTTTGTTTCCTGAAAGAAAAATTAGAAATATAAATAATTCATAAATATAATTAATAAACATATACAGTAGAGAGCTGTTTATTCAGATTCCAATTAACCAAATAATCCAACTATTTGGATCAATATATTTTATATATTTTTCCCTTCAGTCTCAAAAGAAAAACTATTTCTCCCACAAATCTCTCTTTATCTTAAGATTGTCTAACAGGGGATAAAGTTTGGCTTTTTTTCCCTTTGGTATCCTTTGAAAGAAGGGCCCTTTCTTAGTTCACATTTGTTCTGCCCAGATACAATTAGGGTGGGAAGTAGAAGAAAACAGTTTCTCCAAAAAAATGTACAAGTTTCTTCTCTCTCGAAGAATTAAAAAGGACAGAAAGATATTTTCTGTTTCATTTGCTTTTGAAACACATGCTAGAGTACACATGCTATTTTTCTAATAAGTTTGAAAGAGTATGAGATGTTTTTGTATATGTCTGAAAAACACATAAGAGTCACATTATCAATACATCAGAAAATTTAAACTGTAAACCAGGTCAGACTCAGACCCAATCATTATTTTAATAACATTTCTTTGTCATTAGCTTTTATGTGATTTCCAGCAATTCAATAAAATTTATCTAAATTACTAGTTATCATTATATTATGCCTTAAAAAACTTATCATGTAACAGCATGAAGTTTTTTTTTCTAATGAATTGTTTGCATTTTTTAAAATATATTATTAATTAAAAGAAAGAAAAAAGGTAGAAAACTTTTTCTTTTTTCAATCACAAATTGGCAGGCTTGATTTGCGTGTTTCATTTATATAGAATTATACACATCAAGTTCTTATCAAATTAAAGAACATGTAGCATAAGGGGTAATAGATTCAGCAGCTGAGAAATTAAACTAGCTATCACTCAAATTTGTGGGCATTATCACTATTCAAAATACAAAATTTGTATAAATTATTTTATTTTCAGAATTTTGAAAGCTGTTTTTTTCTTCTTTTTTTTTTTTTTTTTTTTTTTTTTTTTGTCGTGCCTATGACATAGCCAAATCAAATATTTCCATGCGTCTCGATTACTGCTTCTGCGATTTGCTTGATATTATCGTCATAAAGGTCTATCAATGACGGCAAGACTCCTATTTCTCTCAGATTAGCCCTCATTGCTGAATACTCAAAGATGTGGTATGGTGTCAGCTGCGTATCTGGGCAGTTTCCACAATTCCTATATACTTTCCTGCCCTCTCTGTCGATCTTCATGCCTCTGTGGTGATTGGTTCTCAGCCTGGCTATAGTTTTTGTTGTGGATCCATCTGCATTTATATTACAAATCATGTGTTTCGTTGGAATTGGTTTTTCTCTAAGTTTAGATTTAGCAATTGCATTTGCATCTTGGATGGAGACGTTACAGTCATTAAAGTTGAGATTTCTGGCATCCTTGGCTAATTTATCTGCGCTTTCATTGCCTGCGATGTCAACGTGTGCTGGTATCCACTGAAGAGTACAGGTTCTGTTTAAGTCCTGAAGATCATGAAGATTTGTAATGATTTCTTTGGTGATAGAAGAGTCCCCTTTTAAAATTGCTTGGAGGGCAGCCCTCGAGTCGCAGAAGATAACAAGGCCCTTTGCTTGCTCAGAGGAGGCAAGGGCTTTATACATATTAAGGGTCTGCAAAATTTCCCTTAGCTCGCAGGTGAAGTTAGAGGCTATAGCGCCTGCTCCAAATTTACCTTGTTTAGGGGAATTACTTAAAGTAGTTAACACTCCGGAGCCTCCATTTGTGATAGTTTTATCAGAAGAACCATCTGTATATGCATGTACAAAGTTCACTTTTGGAAACTGTTCAATCGTCTTGAGTCCTTTTTCTTTAATGATATCATTGTTTTCATTTTTATAGCATGGCTCCAAGAGGTCTGTGTGGATATTTGTGTTCAGTGGAAGCCTTTTGTGGAAGATTGGTTCTTGTAGAATGACATATTTGTTGTGCTCAAGATCTATGCTTGCTCTGATATCTCTATCATATTGCATGAGTGAAGATCTTTTCAGTCTTATCTTGGCATTCCATTCTTTGAAGGTAACGCGGGAAATATGTTCAGGTACGCGACTTCATGCTTTGTTGGTGAACTTTACCATATTTATTTTCCCTCTCTTTTAAAGACTTTCTAGGCCACACTCTCTGATTATCTTGCCATTGTTGGTAGAAGACACTGCACCGTTTATTACCTTTGCTGCTCTCGCTTGTACGCTTTCCAACTTGTTTAGGGCGGTATCAGAGGCATGCGCCCAGATCAGTGAAGCATACTCCGGTCTAATGAGTGAGGTATATGTGGTCTTTAGGGTTGTGGGAGAAGCTCCCCAGTCTGTGCCGCAAAAACTTCTGATGATTTTCAGTTTTTTTAGAGCTCTTTTGGAAACTGTCTTCACGTGCTCAGTGAATCTCAATTCAGCATCTAGAGTTATTCACAGATATTTAGGGTTAGATGTTTTCATGATACATTTTCCTTCAATATATAATTCCGGATCTATTTGACTCTTGTGCTTTCTATCTGTCGAGAAGACACAAACGGTGGTTCTTTCAGCATTAGGTAATCTTTAGCTTTAGATCTTGAGTCCATTTGATGATACCATTGAGGGACTTCTGAAGAGTCCTTTCTGAGTTGCTGATGTCTCTGTTCGTGTGCCAAATCACGATATCATCAGCGTAACAGGCCACCTTGGTTTCATTGTCAAGGTTGGGATGAATGTCATTTATATATAGCAAGAAGAGTCGAAGACTCAGTACAGAGCCCTGTGGAACACCAGCAAAGACATTCGTGTATCTAGACAAACGGCCATTGCATCGCACTCTTATTTTTCTCTTTCTCAAGAAGTCATTTATCCAAATCAGAGCACGCCCACCAATACCATAGCTATGGATCAGTGTCATAAGTTTCTGATGCCACACTCTGTCAAAAGCAGCGGACATGTCCAGGAAAACAGCAGTAGTCGTATTTGGCAAACGTTCTTGAAAGCCATCAATTACAGATTGGCAAAAATAAAACAACTGATCCTCAGTTGAATGCAATTTTCTGTAAGCTGTTTGATAAAAATTTAGTGCTTTTCTTTCGGTGAGAAACTTAACCATTCTATGGTGTATTACGCGTTCCATCACTTTGCAAAGTATGCTGGTGAGATCGATTGGTCTAAAGTTTATGCTCAGCAGAAACTTTTTTGCATTTTCTCCCAGAAGTTTTATCATTTCACCAAATATGAGATCAATTCCTGGGGATTTGTTATTTTTGATGGTGTAAGTAGTATGTTCTTAAAGCATGTATGTTTCATAGCTATATTTTAAAAATTAAAGCTACTACTAAATTAATTTAACATGACTAATTAGATTATTAGAGGTCCTGTAACAGAACTTCATTCATCAGAGGAAAAAGTCGAAGTTTTTTATCAATTTTTCTTATCAGCCTAGCACTGGAGGGGAATTTAATAACATTTTCTCCTAAACAGTCATATATTTGACAGAATTTCTCCTAAACAGTATAGAGTAATTTATTATTGGTTTTTTGCTGTAAAATTAATTTCTTCTAATGATATTGCATGGGATATAAAAGGGGGAAAATATCACACTACATTTTAACACCTGGAAATTAAAAGCATTGACGATATTTCATATTCTCATATTCTCAGATCAAATCAAGTATTTTAAATAAGATGCATTAATAAAAGGCTTACCTTAGCTCTTGGATATTGGTTTCCTCAGCTGAATGCATGCAAGTAACATTGCTTATTAATATTAACTAACAATATAGAAATACTTATCAAATCATTCTAAATCAATCAATCAACATATTTAAAATTTTATTGGTAGTTTTACTAGTTATTATTGTAAATATTGAATTGCAATATATATAAAAAAGTAAGTTCATTCAATTGGATTTTACTCATACTTAAATTACTAATTCTTATTTTTAAAACACATTTCCAAAAATACTTTAATCACATTTCGTGAAATGATTTCATCCTCCAAATGAAGCATAGAGTTTTATTTTGTATCTTATGAAATATAGAATAGAAAAATAAAGTTGAGCAAAGAGTAAATTCTTTTGAAAGTAAACTTTTAAGTACATAAGAAAAAATTAAAAATTTTAGAATTAAAAAAGGCTAAATGAGCAGAAGAATTGTTACGCTTAGTGCATAGTGATCTCTGTGGACCCATGAAAGTTTCATCAATAGGGGGTTCTCGGTACTTTATAAGTTTCATAGATGATTTATCATGAATGACTTTTGTTTATTTTACAAAGAATAAATTTGAAGTTCTTGGAAAATTCAAAGACTTTCAGGCGTATGTAGAAAGACAAACTGGCAAACCTATTAAGGTATTACGCTCTGATAATGGGACGGAGTATGTAAATAATGAAATGAATAGTTTTCTAGCTTCCAAAGGGATTCAGCATCAAAAGTCTATCCCTTATACACCGGAGCAAATAGGGGTTACAGAACGCAACAACACTCGTTGAGCGAGCTCGGTCTGTGTTGGTGGATGCCCACCTTCGCCAGGAATATTGGGCTGAAGCGGTTGAAACAGCAGCTCATTGAAAAATATATCTCCAAACATTGCGAGTCCAGACATGATATCTTTTGCGAAATGGAGTGGTGAAAACCAAAACTTGAAATACTTAAGGGTGTTTGGGTGTTGGGCTTTTGTTCATATTCCCAAACAGAAGCGTTTAAAATGGGATGTGAAAGCTAGAGAGTTAATGTTTGTTGGGTATTGTAAGGATAGGAAGGGCTATCGTCTAATTGATCCAACTAATTATAATATTGTTGTAGCCCAAGATGTACATTTTTTGGAACATGATATGTATCATGACAATAACAGTGACAAAAGATCACCAAAGTTCAGCGATGACTCTTTATTCAGTGGGAGCATTGTTGACTTTGACATCACATCAGATAAACTCCAAAATGGTGACAATGTTAGCAGGGGTGATAATGAATTAAATTTCTAAAATGATATTAACACAGGTTGGGATGACATTAATGGCTTAAATAGAGGCGATTTTGTAAATAATGATGAGAGTAATAATATAACTGTTGATAATGACATGCCGAAATTGATACCTATAGGAAGAACAGTTAAACTTCCAGTTTGTTATCAAAATTTTGATATCAATGACATGCCAGATTTGCAAATGCCAAATTTAGATCCTATTTGCTTTGCCGATGCTTTAGTGGCGCAATAAATGAACTTCTTTCTGAACCTAATACTATTGAAGAGGCACTCAATAGTAGTAATACTAGGCATTGGAGAGAATATTTATGTGAAACAATAGCGGGTCATATTAAAAACAAAACTTGGGACATAGTAAATAAGCCTAAAAATAAAAACATTGTTGATTGCAAATGGGTATTCAAAATAAAACATAATGTTAATGGAGATATTGAAAGGTACAAAACCCATTTAGTAGCTAAAGGTTTCTCCCAGATCGAAGGAATAGATTATACAGAAACGTTTTCCCCAGTAGTTCGTTATGTAACGTTAAGAGTTTTGTTGGCTTATGCAGCTATTTATGATTGGGAAATTGATCAAATGGATGCTGTTATGGCTTTTGTTCAAGGGACACTAAATGAAGAAATATACATGAAAATTCCAGATGGGTTTAGTGAATTTTACGAACAAAATTTAACCTGGAAAGTTCTTAAACTTAATAAAGCTCTAGATGGCTTAAAGCAAAGTGGCAGACTTTGGTATCTGACATTAGAAGAAGGCTTAGTTGAAATGGGATTTAGGCAAAGTTCTTTTGATAGTTGTGTGTATATTAAACTAAATTAGAGTAAAGAACTTGTAATTGTAGCTATCTATGTCGATGATTTATTAATTTTTAGCAATTCAGTAAGGCTTAAAAACTTAGTGAAGAAGCTACTAAGTGAGAGATTTAAAATGAAAGATTTAGGAAAAGCCAATTATTGTTTAGGGATTAAAATAGAGCGTAACAGATCAAAAGGGTCCATTAACCTAAATCAAACCCAATACATTGAGCGAATGCTTGAAAAATATACATGCATGAATCGCATCCAGTTGCAACACCACTTGATCCCAATCAAGTCTTTACAAAAGTTCAACTTAAAAATGATTAATCTAATAAAGCATCTGATTCTGGAAAGGAAGCCCAATCTGACAATGAAGGTGGTTCCGGTTCCAATAAGGCACAATCAGATGATGAACGTTCTAATAAAGAACAATCAGGTGAAGAAGCAAAGGCTTCAGACTCTGACAGAGAAGATGTATGCCACCAGATGATCGTAAAACTGATGATGAAGGAGAAGAAGAAGGTGGTAAAAGACGAAAACGTAAGAAAGATAGAGAATCCAAGCAAAAGAAACAGAAAGAAGATGGACTTACTGCCAAGCAAAGGAGCAGAATCGTTTCTAAAGCAACTATTCCATCAAGTGAGGAGTCTGACAGTGGAAAAGAAAAGTCTAAAAGAAAAAGGAAAGCAAGTGCTAGCGATATTAGTCAAAGGGATGAAGACAGTGGGCCTAAAAGGAGGAAAATTCCTTCTGATAGTGGAAGTGAAGATTCTGACAGTGGTAATGCAAAATCTAAAAGAAGAAAAGGAGCAAGTGCAGTGATGGCAGTCAGAGTGATGAAGACAGGCCAACCAAGAACTGAAAAATTGTTTCCGATAGTGAACCTAAAAAGAGGAGAATTACATCTGACAATAGTCAAAGTGAAGAAGAAAACGCACCCAAAAAAAGAGAAGGATTGCTTCGGACAGTGGGAGTGAATCTGATAAAAATGATTGCGAACTATTTAACAAAAACTGTTAATAGAACTAAGCTTGAACATTGTGAAAAATCAATGGGACTAAAATGATTTTTTTAATTTTTTTTTTGCACATTTGTGATTTTCTTTTAGTATTCCCAAAAATGTAAACTGAAATGGGAGTGTTAAATGAGTTAGTTTACATTGTTGTACATAGATGGCAACACAAATGCTGACATAGATGGCAGCAGTGTTGTCCTTAATATAACCTCTTATCTATAATAAAATATTTAGTCCAGTCTCAGCCTTTACCCAGGTATGTTGATTTATTTCTTGTGACCTCCATGCATAAATTATTGGCTTAAGTCTTTACACATCAATGATCAACAAAGTTCAGTTAATGAAATTTTTAATATATTTTTTTATTATAAACACTAACTGATAAGCAGCAGTTTTCAAGTTATGTTCTTCGTAAAACCGACAAAGTAATAGTAAAATTTACTCTTTTTTTTAGTCTAATTTTGGCATAATAAACACACAAACTATTTGTTGTAAAAAGTATATAATGTAAGTTGTTTTCTCTCTATAACATGAGAAAATATATATAGCTAACATGAGACACTCTTCATAGCACTTAAACGAAAATTTGCTACAACTTATTTTAATTTTAGACTCATCACTAGCCTACATTAAGGCCCTCATAGGTATACAGTGGTTTCAAAATTTTTTATTTTAAACAAGCAGACAAATTTCCTGAATTTGATTTCAAGAAGAATCTTCTTTTTTAAAAGAATGATTAATGAATGAAATAAACAAAGAGTAATAAATAAAATAAAAGATGTCTAATGTAAAATTCCAGAACAGTATGCTGAACAAATTTTTTGAGTTCTTAGTTTTCTGTATTACTGCTGTCTGGAATAAAGATTTCTAAATAAAATAAGTTAGATCTAAATTGAAGTGTTAGACTATGTTAGTATTCTGGCTTGACCTACCCTGCTCTTAGATAAATTCAATTCTGATATAAGCAGATTATAGGTATCTCATGTTAGAAACATGTATTTTAAGCTGAAATATTTTATCTTCTTTATACACATAACTTATTTTTTGTTTAAAAATTTATATGTATACTAGAAAAATATGTATTCAATCTACATAAATTTCAGATACAAGTTAAATTATTATTGTGATGATATATTGACACTCAGTTTAAATGAATACAGAAATGTAAGTTGAAAAAAACCTTAAAAAACTAGAGAAATTTAAAACAAAAAAAAATATTGTAAAAAGCATAAATAAACAAGTTCATAAAAAAGAGACAGAATTATTATTACCAATGCATATTGCAATAAATAAGTTCTAAATAGAATATTGGTTAAACATATAATATTTTGAAAACACATGTTAGAAAAATTACCATAGTAACAAAACTTTGTATACATTTTAGCATTATATATATATATATANTATATATATATATATTGGTTAAGCAATGTTTTGTAGAATAGAGAAAACGCTAAATCTTTTTATAGCTAGTTTATAATTTAAAAATCTAGCCCATTGAGTATTGAATATACAGCTAGTCAATTTCAACAACAATTTTAAAATGGACTAAATATGTTAAATAAACATTTGCTGAAATAAAGCGTCTTTTTTTTTTTTTAAATTCTGAAACGCTGATTTTTTTATGCAGTTTAATATCTAATAAAGATTAAAACCTTAAAAATTAAAAGGACTTGAGGTAATATAATAAGTTACAATTTTCCATGAAGAGGGTCTTTTAGAACCGGCTTTTGATAAAAACATCACAATTTCTGTTGAAACATAAGATGCTTCTGAGTACTGTGTTGTTAAAGAAAATTTCTGAAACTTGTAATGTATTTATCTAGATAATCTGGATCTATCTAGCAGGCCTCTAATTTGGTTTTATTTTTTTAGAAGTAATGAACATATTTATTATAAAAAAAATTTAAATCAAGAAAACGTTCTGTAGCATAATAAAAAAAATCAGTTATTTTAATAGTTTTGTTATATTTTGCTTATCACAAAATATAACTAAATGAATGTCATTATAAATAAATGAAAGAAATGAAACAAAACATTGCATTCATTTAAAAAACGCTTCCTCAAAAAAATTCAAAAAATAAAGTGTATTCAAATCTGTTGTGAAAACTTTTAAAACTGAATTATCAGTTGGAACTTTATTACAAAAGTTACAAGATAAATTAAGAGCATGTTAACACAGGGATGGGCAAACTACGGCCCGCGGGCCAACTATGGCCCATTGGAAGGTTTTATCCAGCCCGCGGATAGAATTTTAACTTGGCCATCCGTAGCGAATACAATAAACAAGATACATTATACATCCATTATTTTGTCTACTTTGTTTAAAGCTATGTTTGTTCTTTCTTTTTTAACAAAGTACTGATGACGTTTTTACTTTCTCTATTGGTGGAATCGATGGAAATAGTTAGTACAGACAGCTTCAATTGGTAAAATGCTTAAAGCAGAAGTTATTTATAGAATAGCTGCAGATTAGCTCTAACTAGTGTTTGTCTTTCTCGAGGATCAGACATATGGAATCAAAAATGGGTGAATTGTGCTTCACATGTGGCAGACAGCGCATTTTAAGCTCCAACGAGCGGATTTTTCTACCGGTGCGAGTTCTAACATTATTTATTGAGTATGGAAAAATTGCACACTATTATTGTTTCTAAACATGCTGAAGTTTGAGTTTTGCAAATCATTACCAAAAGCTAGTTTCCAAAATTTAATATCTTATGCCCAGAAAATCAGTGCTATGTTTGCTTCATCTTATATATGTGAACAAGTGTTATTAACTATGAACATAGAAAGAATCATTTCAGAAGTAGACTAAACAGACGAGCATTTAACCTCTTTCCTTAAAATAAGCAGATCTCACTTCGAATCTCAATATAAGGAAGTTTTAAAAATGAAATCGCAATTTCATTCATCTCATTAAATATTTAAATTTAAACTTGTGTTATACACTTACCACCTTTCTCATGGTTAAACCAGATGTCCAGCTTTGACTAAAACCTGGTGTCTTACAATTATCTAAAAAAGAACGCTGCTGAAATTCTGCAACACTAGCTCTTCGTCTTCCAACCTGTTTAATAAAAGAGTTAGATTTTAAAAAAAATTATGAATAAAAAATGTAGTTAACATTTCAAAAGTACTTGAAAAGGAAGATAAAAAAAACTATTGATTTTTGTTTTTAATTTCTTAAGCCTAGAAACTATTTTCTGAGTAAGAAATTTTCGGTCCACCATAAAATACTAAGGTTTCAACCAAATTTAGCAAAAATTGCCATGAAGTAGAAAATAAACGACAGCAAGGAAAAAATATACATTTTTTTAAAGAAAATCGAACTTATTTAATAAAGCAGAAATGCTATTCGTTTTAATAAAATTTTATTAATTAAGTAAAATTAACTAATTAAAATAAATAAATTGTATTTTGAAAAACTTATCTTTACCATTTACTCTTCTTTTCCAAATTATTATGATTGCATCGTCAAAGCAATTAGCAAGAAATTAAAAATTCCTTGATAATGAATAAACCCTAAGAACAAAACATTTCATTTAAGTATATTTATTTTCAGACATTTCTAATCGAAATTGGAAAAGCCTTCAAGCAATGTGTCTGGAATCGTGATGTTTGATTTTGAAATCATATGAATAGCAATGGACATGTTTTATTTTAAAATAATTTGAATACAAATTACGATGTTTGATTTTAAATTCCCTCGAATACGGATTGTGAAATTGAACTTTAAAGAAGCATAAATACAAACCGCAATATTTTAATTTTAAAGACACATGAGTACGAACTAAGCTGATTGATTTTTAAAATGTGTGAATTTGAATCGTGATGTATAGTTTTAAATTGTGTGAATACAAATTGTAATGTGTAACTCTAAACATGTTTGATATAAAAACCATGTGAATATGTGTCACGATATTGGACTTTAAAAACGAATAAATACAAATCGCAATATTTAATCGTGTGAATATGAATCACAATGTTTTATTTTTAAATTACTGGAATTTGAATCTTGATGTGTTGTTTTCATATCAGAGGATTTCGAATCGCGATATTTAATTTCCATAAATTATGTGGACACTCCTGTCAATTTTAAAAGTATCTGCAAAATTTAAGAATTTCCATGGGTGTATCCGTGCATGAGGTGCGTATATATTATTTAACTCAAGTTGTCGAGGTGGATGGAGGCTTATTCAGCTTTGGTCGCTGTTCAAGAGCCATATGAATATTGTACATCTATCAAAATCGTTGGGGCCTAATCGAATGGGAGGTGTGTTAAGTATTTTTCCTTTAAATGTAATTATGAAAGTTCTATGTGACACAAACCTCAATGTGACACAAACCTCATATCTCACCTTCAATGCAATTATAAAAATTAAACAACAAAATGTCACCTTTGGAGAGAATGGAATGCATTAGTATTTTAGGAAGATTACACTACGCATATGTGTAGCACCAAATTGGAAAATTACAGGAGGGATACACCATGTTAAAATCAATGATAGCTACAATTATGCCATTTATATTCAAGGAGAATAGCCGATGCATATTAACATTTAACATTTTATAATATTTTTTGAGATATCAGTGTCTATTTTACACCATTTGATCAATTGGTTTCCATAACAACAATGAAGAAAACACATTGTTCCCTCAAGAAGATACAAAAAATTGATGATTGTTGAAGTTCAACTTTAGGTTCTGTCTCATAGGTTAGGTATTTCCATAAGCAGATATGAGAAGAAAATAAATTTCTAATTTTAAAGGATTTGTTTCCATAATATTAAATGACATTTCGAATGATAGAAATGCGTTAAATATTATTGAAAAAGAATTTAAATGTATTATATTAAAATGTAAGAACTAGTAATGACTTATGAGTCATTCATGAACTTGCCAGAAGATGCACAGGTATGGATTAAGAGAGCTTTTACAATGACTTTGCTTTGAAATTCCTAGATGGTGTGTATTTTGTACTGTAGATATCAATGCTACTTGATTTATTTATATATAACTGTTCTAAAATAAATTTCATATGCTTATAATTGTTAGTCGGGAACAAAATCTTTGGTGATGTTCTCATTCTAGTACAAAACTATTATACACTATTTTTTTTCTTAATTTTGATTCTGTTTTTACATCCGCTGAGTGGTAACTTGTGACATTTTTAACCAGAGGGTCATGAAATAAAATTCAATATCATAACTTTAAGCATTTATAGAGCAACAAAAAGAAAGAAAATATGTTATAATGGTTTAAAAGTCGTAATGGAATTTAAATGGTAACTGAGCGGTAACTTGTTACCTTGTAACTTGTGGCATTTTTAACCGGAGGGTCATGAAATAAAATTCAATATCATAACTTTAAGCATTTATAGAGCAACAAAAAGAAAGAAAATATGTTATAATGGTTTAAAAGTCGTAATGGAATTTAAACGCCTTACCTCATTTGAAAATTTTTTCTTGAAGTAGGCACCTTTTAATTTGCACAATAAACTATAAAAAAATTCATTTAAAACAGATGTATTCTCACTAAATATTACTTTTATTATGCTTCAACACTGTTCATCTTATTCCCTGCACTGAGGTAATGGAATACCATGTGTCCTTATGTACTTCAACTAACAGAAGTATCAAAATTCAAAGCAATTGCTTTTCACTTCATTAAAAATCGTTGTTATGTATGCTCTGTTTGTGTTTTGATAAGATCAAAAGAGTAAAATATTTTCTGGTTAGAAATTTTTACCTGTTTCTTTTCCAATACTTTAGTTGGGAATGGGGAAATTTCATGCATTTCCTTTATTTAGCTTTACATTTATAATATGCCCTGAAATTTTGAAGTTTATATGTAACTTCAAACGTTAGTGTTTTCATGTAGATCACACAACCTGATACTCTTTGAGGCCAGTCACATTTAGTTGTACTATTGGCCAGTATGTTTTTTGTAGAGAACTTCAATTGAAAACTCAGATCCAGGTAATGATTCTTCAAAACTAGAAACATCTGATGCTTGAGCAAATAAACAATTTTCAAATTACATGCTAGAGTGCTGATCAAAGTATAATATACTGATCTCACAAAATAAAATGCCGAAAACATAACAGCACTATCTTAAAAATCCAAATTTAAAAATATCAAGAAATGTCTCAATTCCAGACAATTTTTTGCAAGTAGTAAAAAAAAATCTATTTTAAACTAGAGGCAAGATGAGAAAGCGTCAAAATAATATATTAAGAGAGGCAATTTTAAAAACCACGTCAAAATCTGTAACATTAATTGCTGAAAAAGCATTTAACAAAAAAGCACATGGATTTATGATAAATTATTATGAATTGAGAAAAAGTGGTTACTTAAGTGCACGTCATAATACTAGTGTCCAATTAAAAACAACTGGATTTTTAAGAAAATCATTAGCAATTAATTTATTACATTTGGAATACATAAAAGGGATCACTGTCATTCTCTCTACACTCATTGATGGATTTTCTATAAGATTATCCTTATTCAACAACAGAAGAAAAAAACAATTCTAAAAAAAATTTTATGAAGGAGTATTTTCACTCCCAATAAATGTTTAGGAGTAAAACTCAAATTCGATGGGTGAAATGCATGCCTCAATACATATTGGCAAATTCTGCTAGGAGGAAATTTCTATTTTAATGGTGAGAAACTAGTCTAAACAGCAACCAATAATTTTTGACAAACATAACATTATGAGTCACGATGAGACAAATGTTTGAGCAACTGTACACAACTGTAAAAATGAAATTATGAATTTAATTTGATAAACTGTAAGAAATAGCCTCTGACTCATTATTTATTGAATATAACTAATAAATTTGTAACTTAATAAGAATGAAAAGCGTTGTTTTCTAAGCAGAACAAAACAAATTTTTATTTCTAATACCTTCCATTTTTTTTTTAAAATTGATTTTTCAAATTGTCACTTATTTTTGGGGCATCTGGAAGTAGTTCATTGTTAATTTTCGTAGCAGTTATTTTTACACACTATAAAACAAAGAAATACAAATGGAATGCAAACTTAATTCATATTAAGCTTATAGTTTTCAGTACAATTAATAATAATCAGAGCATAGATTGAGCATTATAATCAAATTCAAACTGTTAAATGGTTAGGTTACTGAAGTCAATTGAAAATTCAGATTTGATTACAATTTATTAATCACTCAATAAATGTTAAGGAAGCAGTTAAAGTTTTTTGAGGGAGAAGCTCAAGCATTAGATAAAAGAGGAAAGTGAAGCTATACAAATTCAAACTATAGCACAATTGTAGTTTATGATTAAATTACAAAAAATTTTATACATTAATATTTATTTTAATGTGTAAATTTATAATACATTACATTATAATTAAGGAATCAGTGCAGTTATTAGGGCTTTGCCAAGCAAAGACCCCCCAGTTAAATATTAATTTCTTTTACAAATTAATAATAAAAATGTTTAATGCTTAAAAAAACATTATTTTTTTTATCAAAACTGGTAACATATTTTAGTTTTGCTGAAATAACCTATATATGGGTGTCATTTCTTTTTTTTTTTTTCCTTTTTTTTTGATTTAATAAAATTGAAAAAATTTTTAATTGTAAATTATCTACATTAAATTTATAAATGTTGTGTAAAAATATATTAAACTTGTATATAAATACTTGTTCAAATATTTGAAAATACTACGTCATATTTTTTTTAAATAAGAGTTTTTCACAGTTTCAAAAAAAATTCTCCTAGATATTAACATGTATAAAATTTCAACAAGAAACGTCTAGATGTTTGATACAGCCCTTAAACTAATTCATTATGACTCTTTCAGATTAAAAATAAAATTTGCATTGAAAAGTAAAACAAACATGCTTTTAGTATGAAGGCATGCAAAATGAAGAATGTGAAAGAAGAAGCAGAAGTTACCTGAGAAGTAATTGGTACTGAGGTTAGTATCCTTGAGCTCAGAAACTATTTGCAATTTAATGATGCGACTATAAAATAAATATCAAGCAGATATATGAATGAGGCATACAAAAAAAAAAGTACATGTGAAGCACATAAAAACTATAGGAGATTAAATACAGTCAAACCTCACTAACTCAATTTGCATCTCTGCAATTTTTTTGATATCTCAAAAAGAAAAAACCTTAATAATAAATGAATTAATTAATAAATTCCTCGCAAATTTCCTATGCACTCAATGTTAAAAAAGCCTTGTTTTAGTGAAAAATTTTTTATAAAACAGAAATTTTCAAAAAATAAAAAAACTATTCTCTTTCATTAACTCAAAGAGGCAAATTATTAATAAATCAGTAGAATTTATTGAAAGTCAGTTAAATATGTAAGGGGATAAATTTACATTTTTGTCCAGTTAGACAAAATCATTAAATGCAAGAAATTGATATATTTAATTTGATTTCATTATTGCTACGGAAAATCATAAAAAGTAAACAAACTTAGAGGAAATTGCTTTCTAAAAATAACAAGATCAGAAAATATATCAAAATAGAGTAGCAGTTATGAAAAACTTAAACTACTGCCATGGCAATACAGCATCAACTAAAAATGTCAAAAACATCTTACTGCCTAGAATAAAATCATGGTGTTTTTTTTTCAAGAATTGCTTACATGAATAATTTGAAAATGTGGCTTATCCTTATAGTAACCAAAATTGTGACCAAAATAATAATATTATGTTCAATTTTTAATCTACATAGAAATGAAATACACTTAAGTCACTAATCTTTTGTGCATGGATGGTACAGCAGGTGTGCCAGAAAAACATGTTTAATGTAATATTAAAAAGTTTCAAAAACTATGGGAAAAAAATAATTTTTTACTAAAATAAAATTTTATTTTTTAATTTTTTTTTATTTCATTAATAAATGAAATTTTTAAAAAAGCAGTTATATGCATTTTATTGCTTTATAAAAATTATCTACAATAAAATAATTTCAGAACACAAATAATAAAAATGCAGGTGTTTGTTAATGTCCCAAAAAATAATTTAAATTGAAATATATTGTAAATAGAGTATAAAATATATTAAATAAACATTAACAATCTACGCAAAACTATTGCAAAAACTACCTCTTCTGAATAAGTACTGTTATAAAGAGTGCAGCAAATAGTTTATTCAAAAAAAAAGTTGCCAAATAAAATTGCTTACATCATAAAAATTAAAATAACTTACAGATTTTATAGAACCAACAGGTAAGCCAAACGTTTTAGAGTATTTCTTTTGATCTTCAGGGATAACATCAGAATTAACATCTTTTCTAAATATTCTAGTATCAGTTAACATTTTCCTAGTTTCTTCCAATTCTTTGTGTTCTTTGTCAAATAAACGTTTTAAATGATCCACGTGTAGAACTAATACTTCAAATGCTCTACTAACACGCTCTTCCTGAAATTAAAAAAAGAGCATTATGTATTAAGAAAATAATTTGTGTAAAAATTGTGATGTATTTTTACTGAAAAGGGTTGAGTTTCTCCATTCTCTCACATAAAGAAATAAACACTTTGCAAGAGGAAAAAAAACACTGATACTAACTTCAAAGATTAGCATAATAAAATATTAACAATATTAAATCATATGTCAGAGACTAAAGAATAATTAATCAATATTTATACCACTTAAAATACTGCTACAAATGATTTGCAAAGAAAATGAGAGGAATGCAAATGAGAAAAAGTAAATGAGTGTCATGTACTCAACCTACCTGGTATCATGCTGCAACATTACAATAAAACGATAAAGAAAATATATAACCTGATGGCAATTTGTCAAGTAACATCAATAGAATGGTTCATTTTGATGGGGTTGATCCAAAGAATATTACAAAGTGATAAATATCTCAAGACATTTTGCATAGTGATGGTTTTTTTATACACTTTCACAAAAACATCTTTCTTTACCCAACTGAATTCTTTAATTTGAAATAAAGGTAATAAAATATCTATAATCCATCATAACGTAATTAGTTTATCAATTAGAGGAGCCTAAAGAGTCAAACATCAATCATGATGGCAAAAGTATTTTCAAACATAAGTCCCGCAATAGACTGATCATAAAGACATGGTTCTCAGTAAAACACTGAAGTCCAGCATCACTGGCTGCGGTAAGTAAGCGGGTGGGGGACCACTTTGATCAGCCTGCATAGGGACCAAGGGTGCGCGATAACGGTCCTTGTTAAACTGTTATACCGTAAAGTGCTCGACTTCACGAGCTGGTCGTAGGGCTACCAAAGCAGGGGAGCCATCCCCTCTGCAGAGGATCTAAATTTTGATGGCATGCCTTCGGATAATCCTCAGGGATGTTTCCCTGACTGTCCCCAATAGCCCGTTGTGCAGTTCCAGTGTGAAAAAAGCGAAGTATCTTCAAACATAAAATTTTCATGCAGAAAAAAAATTTCTATTTTACTCTGGTTAGTCTAGGAAAACTATTTTTTCAAACATATTTATTTACTAATGTGTCTAAGATTTTATTAGAAATTAATCTTACCTGCTGAACAGCACCATAAGTTTCAGAGCGTCCTGAGACTCTAGAAGTAGCTTGTTGGGCTATATCCAAATGATTTTGGATTTTAGTAATAAGATCACGAACATCAGAACTGGTTGCTTTCAAGTTCAATGTCTAAAAATAAAAAGAACATTTTTTCCAATTAACACCATGGATGTTCTGCAAAAAATTTTATTAATTCTTGGCTATAAATACTTATACAATTAATAAAGAAATAAAAATTCTAATTTAAATAGACTTACATAGAAAACTGAGAAATTTAGTAGGATATTCTTACCATTAGGTGATCACGCATAGCTTGGAATTCATTTTCAACATTCTTTTCTGCCATGTCTCTTTGACGTTTATGAAGCTCTAATCTTTTGCTTAAAGTTGGACGATCTGTTTTGAATGCTAGTGACAATGCAATGAATTTACTCTGGAAAAACATTAAATCAAAACATTCTAAAATTCTAATAAATAAAAATAACAGTAAAAATATGCAATTTACATAATTTTTTTAAAAATACAAGCTTTTGATTCAAAAATGAAACATGATATAAATTTATGAAAATTTCTAAATGGATCAAAACCTGCAAACTAAGTACTGGAAAAAATAGTTCAGAACAGCTTCTAGAATATTATTAGTTTGAAAAAAACTACAAAGGTTATAAGCTAATGTGGTGAATGAGCCAGAATCTGTTTTTACAGAAAACAGTCAATTAATTGTCAGCAGTTGCCGATTGATGGTAGAAAAATTTAATTGGTGTTTTAATAAAATAAAATGTATCAAAAAATTGAATACAAAACTGAAAATTGGATAAAAGTATTTGAGCCTCCCAATAACCAGATAAGATAGTTAAAAAACTTTTTATTTTTTCTAAGATTTGATATGTGAAATTTAGAGTTTTGGTTCTTATTCTTCCCGATTGGTCCTGATCCGAGATTCTCCTTAAATTTAAAAAGAAAATACACTATTTCAATATTCATTAGCTTGATATTTTAATTTTGAAAAAGATAGTACTTGCTACCCTTCAGAGCCATTGCTCCTAAAATCCCATTTATTAGAAGCCTATTGCACTAGGCTCGTAACAAAATGGATCATTAAGAGCTTTATTAGATAAAACATATAATATAGCATTAAAACTATATAAATAATAAAAATAGAGTATGGGACTTTTTTTAAAATTTCATTCCTAAAAAGCAACAACTAATAATTCCTTCTGTTATTTTATTCTTATATCATTGTTTAGTTCTTATTAATGATAAAGCAGGTATAGGACTTTTAGAGGAGAGAAATTTTGCTTTTAAGACACAATCATAGGCAAATAAAAAAAATTCAAAATATCTCATTTTCTAAAGCTCAAATGTATCTCATTTTGATTTTTGTCAATGTCAATAGTTTTTTATGTAAGGCCCCGATAAATGTTCAGAACACTGCCAACATTAACATCTATAAGATTGAAAAGAAAAAGATGCTTTGAATTTCGGATACTAAAAATAAATTTTCATAAGAAACAAAATTTTTATCACTCTAAAAAAAGAAAATGTTTTTTTTTTTTCAAAAAAAAATAAATAAATATGTGAGATGTACTTTTCTGGCCTGCTCCAAGGGGCATAGTGTGGCTCACCTTAAAATCAATTTGTACTTGAAGCAATCAAAGAGGCAAACTCACAAAATAAAAAAATTCAAGTGGTTTACAAACAAGGGTAAAGAAAAATGGAAGAAAATAAATGATTTTAAGATTTAAAAAAAGAAAAAAATTTCTAGGATCAACAAAATCAGAAAAGAATGTATGTCCAAATCATTGTCAAGTTATTTCAATATCCAAACGATCTCTCAAGTCTGGTTGTAGTCCTAAGACATATTTTCGTTGTCCTCTCTGATTTGTTTGAATTTTAAAGTTGCAAATTCTTTTGACAGCATGGTCCTCTTGAGTCCTAAAACCACAGAGCCCAGGGCAAATACTTAACCCTTACATAGCTCTGCTAACACCCTTTGTAAAACATTTAGCTAACAAAATTATATTACCCTCATGTCCCATCATAATCCACAAAAAAGCAGTTAACAGGTTTTGCATTTAGGCTACTCAAATAATGGTTGAAGATTATTCCTTAATGTTAGAATGTCCAGAAGATTATTCCTTAACCCTTTCGCGATGGGTAGCGCAAACGCGTGCTTATCACTGAGGCCGGCAGTCTCTCTCGCGAGTGTCTGTCCAGGGCCGGAGGGTTTTTAGCTGTTAAGTCTAAATACATCAAATTACCGAAATATCAATATGTTGTTTAATTATATTCCGCAGAGTATTTAAATGGCACATGCTTTATATATATTTCTATAGATACTTTATTTACTTATTTATTTCATGCTTAAATATATATTTTGCACATTTTATTTTCATTTTGTACTCACCATTTAATAACTTTTAACATTATATATCTGAAAACTAAATATATGACTTAAAATTCTTTTTTCGTATGAAAAATTTTAAAACACTAACATTGCACTGAAAACTGGATCGCAAATCAAAATACCCAACACTGTAGATAAAAAATAAAACCCTCCCCTGCTTACTGTAAACAAATACCACGTGCAAATTTAAAGAGTCATCATAAAACACTCCTTTCTCCTCCATTCCTTCCCCCTAAAAACCATCTGTATGTGAGTCATACTACTCTCATTTTGAGTAGAAGGTCAAATCTACATGAATCTGAAACTATATGGACATACAATGCCATCTTTTGGCAGAAATTTTATTTTTTAAAACGTTCCAGGACACTGGCACAAATGAGTGCCGGCCAGGGGTGAACGAGAAAACGCTCTGACATGCCAGCGTGTCGGCCGGGAAGTGAGTGTGTTTCTTGCTGGCAAGTATAGGTGACAGTCGGTGTGAAAGGGTTAATATTAGAATGTCCAGAAGATGATTTCTTAATGTTAGAATGTCAAGAAGATTATTCCATAAATATGAGTGGTTGCACATAAATGTGTAAAATAATTTGTAATGTAACATACGCTTGCAAAATATAACGCAATCTCTCAATTCCACCAATGGTGGCACCATGCCTTCAATCCTCCAACCTCTAATTTTTGCACTACTTGTGCAAATCTGTACAAACATTTGTCTGCCAAATAGAGTTCCATTTCCTATTTTGCTGAGAGAAAAAGCAACTAGCTCTAAGCTGAATTAAATTCACACTCAATAGCTAGGCTGTAAACGTAGCTCCAAAAAAAGTTTTCTAGAATTTAATGGCACATGGCCTCCTGGTTCTCTGAATACTCCGTTTATCTTATAGTAAAAAACTCATGATATTACAATCAAAATACTGCAAAATCATGTAAACTACAGAGTATAATTTAGTTTAAACAGAAAATATGGTGACCAGAAAATTAATTTTTTATTTGTATTAAAAAAAATTGTATCAACTACAAAATATCCATAATGAAGAATACAGTAGCAGTAGCTGAGAATAAAAACACATTATTTTTTTAACATTTGATTGTTTTTCATCTTATGAATGAATTATGAACAATTACAATTAAATAACACACTGTGCTAGAATAAAAGGCATTCAGGATTTCCCTAGTTCCTAAAAATATTCTTCCTAGTGGTAGCAGAGGCTATGCATACATATTCTAATACATTAGGATAAAAAGAATTTTGTCCATCACAACAGATAAATTATTCTAACAGATATATAAAATATCAGATTGACAATAGTTCATGGTACTAAGTACGATAAAAGTTTTATAAAAATTATATTTTTTTTTAAAAAAACAACTTCAGTCCACTACCACTAGAAAAAATAATTTACATAAATCTCAAATGTTGAAAGGTATGAAAAAATGCATATACTTTGGAAGACCTAAAGAAAGTTAAAAAAAATAATTAATAAATAAAGGATATTAACTGGAAAACAACTTGATGAGTCAATAAATATTTACAATTGCATAAATTTAAATTACTATGTATTTTTTTAAATGAAAATTTAAAATTGTGAAGAGATTTCTATAAACATTTAGTTTAAAAATAACAATCTAAAAAACGTAATGTATTGACATACCTCAAGCTCCTGTTCATCAAATGCTTCAACCCTAAGAACAGTATGAAATGAAAATAAAAAAAATTTAAATATGAACACATACTAGAATATAAAAAACAAGTCATAATGTACTACTCTACCAACAGACTTCTTTAGGGTCTATCTAATAGAGGTAATCTAAAATAAGCAAAGTTTATCAAACGGAAATATATTCTGTATTGAAAAATAAAAAGATAAGCTGTTGAATTAAAGGAAAAGAAATAAACTAATTATTAGGTTGTCAAGGATGAAATTTGTAGGTTGGGTATGTCAACTTTATCATTTATAATTTGACTTTGGCTTAATATTTTAAAATTTTTCTTTCCTTTGCTGGAAAGTTACACACTTTACCTACTTAACAAAATCAACATCAACTTTACACAATATTAAAAAATTTTTTTAAAAATTAATTTCATTGAAAAGGTAAAAAAATCAGCATTACAATGAAGAATGAGTTTGTATGTGGAACACAATCACAGATAACACGAAACATTAATAATTTATTAATTTTAATTAGCTAAAGGTGAATATCTAGCATTAATATCCTTTAGTGTTGGTTGATGAATCATTAAAACACACTCCAAAGAGTAATCTTGACCAAAAAAAGCCCCTGGTGTGTTAGTGATCTATTACAATTTTATGAAACCTGCCTCATTGGTCACAGTAGAAATATTCTGCAATTAACTAGACAAAATGATGCAAAAAATAGCCTTGCTTGGTCAACAGTCCGGCTCCTGTCTAATTCCATGGCTTTGCCGAACCACAAATTGTACAAATAACCTAGGAGTGCCTTTATCATGATTTGTACTCCTAGACCTAGGCTCCTCTAACTATCACTTTGTTTTAAATATCGACATCTTTTTAATAAAAAACCATTTAATTCCAAAAATGCTGTAAAACTGACAAGAATTCCCTAAGTTCTTCTCAGCCAGGTTTTTATTCCACTTGTCTGAACAACAGAACAACCTGCCTCTTATATGGCAAAAGTGTAGAGAAAATATAGGTGCACACTTTGATGAAGGAAATAGTTTCTCATATCGGTAAGCCATAACCTGATTTTCAGTTTTTTCTCTCCAAATATTATTCTTCATGACATAATAATATTTGGAGGTGCAAAATTGCAGATTTTAAATTTTCTGAACAAGTAACAAAATAAATGTTTTAACATTCATAAAAATATAAATCTCAACAAAATATTATCAAACAATATATTTTCCATGTCAAAATAAAGTTCGCAATCCAAATCACAATTTTACAGATTGTTTAACTATTAATGAGAGGGAACAAAATTCAATGCCTTTCTTTGAATAATCAGTGAGTAATTCTTTTTAATACTATAATTGGTTTTAATGAGAAAAATATAATATAGTTTTCCTTAGCAGTATTTATTTAATTTAATGAATATAAATCATAAAAACTATAACCATTTAATTGAGTCATATTAGATGTTAAGAAATATTATTTCGCTCATTTTACTATACATAGTAAAAGTTTACTATGCATAGTAAAAATCTAACAATACAGACCTCAACTTACTAAAAAAGTTCAAACAACTAGAGTTTTTAGAAAAATTTAAGACAAAATAAAATTGCAGGCAACATTCAAAAATTCCTATTTCTCATTTATTGTAAGAGGTTGATTGCACACAATGCATAAGCAAATGACATACAAGTATCAACTCCAAAATACAAGACAAATATTGTTTTAATCCGTTTTAGTTATATTTCTACAAATTATTTATCTTTTAGTTTCAGATTTTAAAAATTATTTTACAGTTCAGAAAATGTTCCATAAAGCAAATTAATCACCTTTTATCAAAAATAATTTTTGTCCATTGAATTTTCAATTTCTTCACTTTTCTAATTTAATTTGTTTTATCTCCACCTGTGATTCAGTTCCCATCATATTAAATTATATTTGGCATAATTTAACTTCTTAAAAAGTAAAATTTTAGGAATTGATTTTCGATTTGTATGCCTCTACAAAGAGAAGGAAAAAAAAAGAATTTGATTTTTTTGGTCGCAATTTTTTTACAAGGTTAGAAATCCACATCAACTAAATTTCTAGATAATTTTATATAGCATATGAATATCTTATTATTCTATCCTTAAGGTATTTGTTTGATAACCAAAATGTATAGAAATACGTAATAAAAATATCCTAAAATCGGTAAAAAGTGCTAAAATCTAAAATTTAGCAATTCTCAAGAAATAATTTAAAAAGTAAGTAATTAAATTTTATTAAATAAAATTTTATTTTTTTTACTCTGATACCCTAACTTTCTTCTATTATATATTTTTCTGAATGAAAATAATATTTACAACTAGCTATTGTTTTGAGGTTTCAAAAGGGTTTATATTTATTATTATTTTTACAGATGACTATTAATCAGTTTTTTTATTCATCCTTTTAAATTTTTTGTGTGTTTTTATTAGGTTATAAGAAAAACCAAGAATTTGAGCACAGTACTTTCCACAGCTCTAACATTTTTGATAGTCTAATTTCTGTTAGTATAAATTTCAAATTGTCTAAATTGGAAAAAATAATGTCAAAGAAAAAGGTAAAATTTTCCCTTAATGCTTAAAACAACTTCATTCTATGTTGTTTGATATTAAAATTGAACTATTTTGTGATGTTGAGATCAATGCTAATGTTATTATTGAAAATACAGATCACTCGTGAAACAAGAAAATATTTTACATTTATCTATGAACTAAAAACAAACTTGAAAACATTAAGTTCTTGATTAAATTTCAAAACAGCCATAATTTAAAAAATAAACAAAAGTAATTTAGTTATTAATAAGTTGAGTCGAAAGATACTTACGGCAATGGACTATCTTTATGAACTCCTAGCTTAGCAAGAAAAGTATTTGGCAAACTGGGAAATGCAATATCAGGTACAGGAAGAGAATTAATATCTGAATATGGTGGAATATCAAGGGCTTCACATTCAAAGCTGCCTTTTGTTGATTCAGTCTCAGAGTTTTCCATCAGCTCAGGCATTAAGGTTTTAGATTTGTTTGAATCCTGCTTCTTATTGCTAGACTTCATAAACAAAATTTCCTTTTTATTATCACTGCATAACGCAAAATAAGTAAATAAACATAATATTTAGACTTAAAGCAGGATTATATAGAATTCAATTAGTAATTGGAATTTTCAAACGTTTACCTCTACTTATCTATACTAGCAAACTAAAATGTCTAGTAATTTACAGAAGAAGCAATGGCCCTGGGCATGCAGTCTAAAAGAACTAAGAACACCAAAACTTTGAATATATTACTCCTATGCTTTTCAATATGAAATTAAATTTTTTAGAAGTTAAATATTTGGCTTAAGTAAAGTATTTTATAAAGAAGAAAATATGATTTTCATATAAATTTAATAATGAAGTTTATGTAATTACAGTTTCAAATATTCATAAAATTTTGTAACTTCCTGAAACTTTATTATCTATCCATGGTGGTGCCATGTAATCCAAGAATTCGATGATGGTTTGTTTAGAGCAGGAGAAATAACATCAAATTTCAAAACCCCTTCCACTAGTAGAATCTATGTCATATGTGAGTGAATCTATGTCATGCTATATGAGCCAATGAGCATCAGCAGGAAAATGGACAAGCAAACACATAATCATGCTTAAAGGTAATCACACTGCATGAAAAAAAAATCACATACGCAAGTTTGGAGATATGAACGAGAATCTGATCAGCGAGTTTTTGTGAGAAAATATCTTTCAGCAATAAGGTTTTCAGTTGCATCTTTGAATATATGTGAACAAATTTTTTCCTCATCCTGTGTGAATGGCACCTAACACACACAAGTCGATAGGAAATTTGTGATGTCTGTTGCCGAAAAATAATTTTGACAGATTGTCCCCAAAGACAATTTACACGTTTCTAAACATGTAATCTGCAGGTTATAAGTAGGAAATTATGGATATTTTCTGGCAATAATAAATTTTTTTACCATGAAAGAATTTCCAAATATATTTACATCAATATAAGTTTAAAAGATTGATTATATTTTTTATAAATAAAAATCTTTGAAAAGTTTTCTTAAAATTAAATTGGCTTTATTTCCTACTTTTTTGCTTTATACAGTGATTACACTAATCTTTTCAGGAACTTATTAAAGAGTAAGTTCAGGATATTCACATTCCTTTGCAGGCCACAGAGTATGTGGAGTTACTAGGTACTTACAGATTCAAAACTAAATCTGAAAGTACATATAAATCCATCATTGTACACTTTAAAGCCTTATTTTTTAATTTTAAATCGATTCATTCATAGCTATACAAACGTCCACAAATATATACTTTTAAATGCATAGAACAACTTGCAAGCAGATTAAATTTAAAAAAATAGCAATATAAGCTTTAACATTTTTTCTTCTTTTTTCCATCAAAAGTAACATTTCTGGAAATGTCTAAATCCATTTATTATTCAATTTTGAGCTATGTACTGCTTTTTTATTGAATAACATTAAAACATGTTTTTTTTTCTTGTTGCAAGAAAACCTACAGCTTACTTTACTGTTTGGAAAAAGGCAGAACCAACCCTTAAAGGTTCAAATTTCGCAGCTTATATTTGTCTTAAATTTTTTCATTTTAAGAACTAGTCTGCTCATAATTCCATCACTGTGTAAATGGCATATTTTATCTAAATTTATAACTATATTTTCATCAAAAACCATTAACATTTTCTGAATAAAACAAACGATATCTGAATTTTATTTCAAAACTGCATTTTAAAATACAAAAGGAATACATTATTTCAAGAAGTGGTACTTTTTAAGAAAAATATTTCAATTTTCATTCAATAATTTTTGTTGTTGTACAAAACCAGATATTAGGTACTTTTGGGGTAACAAATTATTCTATTACAATAGATTCGAAAAAAAGGAAGACTAATTTATCATATTTGAAGAAACTATAATTTTTCTTTGAGCATTAAATAAGATAAGGTATAGCATTAAAAGAAAATATGGGTGATTCTCACGAAATATGACAATTTACATTCTCTTGCTCCAAGATCTAATACTATACTGCTAAAAGAACTTTTTTTAAAGAAATTTTAATAAATAGCATTGCTGTTAGCATTTTAAAATGACCTTGTACTAGCGTTGACTATTTTGTATAGTTAAAAAATTTTATTGAGTTTCAAAATGTCATTTTCCTGGTATGTCACAAACAATATTTCCAATAATAACTAGCTTCAAAACTTCCCATAAATTTTTCAATATCTATTTTTTTTATCTCACCTATTGTAAGCATTTCTGGAATATATGCAGAGGGTATTATTTACCAAAACTTTGTTGAAAATAATTTTTTCTGTCAATAATTCGTTCGTCACAAGTAAAGCTGTCATTTTCCTGTCTACTTTTATTGAGTGATTTATAACCAAAATAGATAGCGCCAGCAATCAATATCTTATGTTAATAGATTGATTAGAATACCATCCTATCTGAACATGCCTTATTGCATGAATAAAGTACCAACTTTCTGGTTCAAAACCTATTTCAAAAAATTTTTCAAGGTGAGTAGGTTTTTATGTTGTCATTTTCCTGTCTTCTTGAAATCATTAATAACATAAACTACATAGATTTACCTGAGTTATTTCAAGAAATCCTGTTTTTTCTGCGAAATGTAAACATCTTAGGCTGAAATGTTAAGTTAGAGTAAAGTTAAATGCTATATAATGGCAAATTGTCATTATCCTGGCAATTATATGGCTTATGAATCCCAGGACATTGAAACAGTAACCGGAAATTTTTTTAAACAGTTGAATGTAAAGAGAGAAAGCAAATATTAACCTAATACCAAGCTTATGTAAGATTGTAATATGCTTGAATGTAATCAAGGATGAATGATTATTATATACAATTTTATTTTGTACATATCAGCAACAAAAATATTTTTGATTCTTTCTACAGGGGATAAAAGAATTAATTTAAGCAATTCATGGTCCATCTAACGCAAAGGCTAAGTTACGCTAACGTTAAGTTACTTATTATTAGCTTAAAATGACTGTTTTTTTAACTTCTGAGCTAATATGTCATTTTCCTAGCATTCAAAATTTGGTGAATTTTTATCTTATTATTTTTTCTAGAGCAAATGTCAATAAATTACACTGCTGACTGTAAGATACTAATAAATGTAACTAAATAAATATGCAAAAAAAATTTAGGTTATTTTAAAGACAAAATTTGAAGAAATTTTTGGTTCCGAATTGTCATGTTTCCAAAGAATCATCCATATAACATTCAACAGTACAGCAAGATATTTAAGCAAAGTGATGAAGTAATACCAACATTTTTAAGATGTAATCTGTTGTGTTGATAATCATCCGATTTATGGGTACTTTGTGCTTCACGTTTCATAGTTGCTTCTGGTTCCTGAAAAAGAAATTTTATTTTATTTTATTTTATTTTATAACCGTCAGTGAACAGCTGACCCAATTTTCAGGTTTACGACTACTAATGCTCAACCTCGTAGCCTTGTAATTTTGAACCCAATCCAGAAGGCAAGGGATCTCTTGGATAAAGTATTGGGAGAAATTTGTCTTCATGGACGACTTTTTGATGGAACTAACCCTCATTTGCGTTGCATGGAGGGGAAAGCAATGAGAACCTCCCACAGTATGCCTGACGGCAAGGGGACTCTAACCCATGATCCGTCTACCACTGTGGATATTTCATGTCAGCACTGTGGTCGGTGCAAGCCTGATGCGGAATTCGTATTGACCTCATTTTTAGTTAAATCATTAAAAAATATTTCAACCATTTTTCAGGCTACATAACTCAAAACTTATATAAAATACAAGCATTTTAAATCTGGATTTGGATTCCTTAAACAGATGAGTTTACTGGACTCGTGATCTTAGCTAGTGCAGTTAAAAAAATGATAAACTTACAGATGGAGAAGGAAGAAGAGAATGAATATCTTCTTGTTCACTGAAATCAAATGCTGGGTATCGAGGCAACTGAGAGTTTGGAGAGCCTAACAAACCAAAAATACATAATTAGACAAAATATTAGTAAAAAGATAAATATACATTAGAGGCATAAGAATGAATTCCAGTACTATGTAGTTTATGACAGTTAGTGACGTGCAGAGAGTGGGTACAAAGGGGCTATGTCCCAAGACATTTAGTTAAAGATGGCATTCAATTGATGACTAAGAACACATTTAAAATATAACTATTATAATTGAGTCTCTCTTCAACAGAACTCGACTAAACAACAGTCTCTATATACACATTGTAGTCACTGCACATTCAAAGTAGAAAAATCTTAGTTTGAGGACTATTGTGTTTTTTGCTTAGGGACAAAATATTTTAAAGGGTAGAATTTTTTTTCAATTTTCAATTTCTTATATCTATAAAGTGATTTTCTAAGAGAAAAAAAAACAAGTTTTTCATGGGGTAGGGGAAGATGTTTTGTTAGACGAATTTTTTCAAATGTAATGAAGATAGTTAAACAATTGATTAAGAGATGTAGATGAAATTTATGAAGACATTATAGTATATGAAAAGGATGAAAAAAACAACAATGAAAATGAAATAAATGAGGCACCACCGCCATCTTATATAGAATAACTAATACTATTGATGTTTCAAGAAGATATATTATCTCATTCAATATGGAAAATAGCTTCTTTAATGTACAAAAAAAATGAAAAAATCAGTTGTTAAAATGAGACTGCAATTTACGCAATCATTATTTGATTTTTAAAAAAAATTTACGTACTTTTTATATTATATTACCTTGTTTTTGTAATTCTATATAATTCTTGTATTAACGTAATTTGTAAAATAAAAAATAAAATTAATTTTTTTAAGCACGCTAATTTATTACAAAATAAATTGTAAGTCTGAAGTCTGCAAAATTATGAATAGAAAAGTTTTAAGTCTTCAAATATTGATTAAGGATGCTTACAACACAATGATGTTCTTATCAGAGTCCCTTCAAAATTGTAAAATATTATTAACAGGCAGCAGCATTTTTAATATGAAATTGAAATTTTTAATATTAATATTTAGCTCAAGAAAAATATTTTATGAAGTATAAAATTCTAATTTTGAAAAAATTTAATAACAAATTGTCTTGAAAATTCATAATATTTCTTAAGTTCCATGTAGACTGCTGAAATAACAATGTGAACTCCATAATTTTTTTTAATTGCAGTTTAAAATAAAATTAATAAACAATTATTCATGTTTACCCTTCACAAATATTCAATAAAACATGACATTACAAAGATAAAGTATTTTACTCAAGCCATTTGCTTTCCCAACAATATTATGTTGACTTCTAAAAATGATGTTTAGTAAAATATATTACTAACAATTAAATAATTCCGAGATCTGCACTGCATTAAAAAGTAACTGAAAATATTAGTATTTAAATTGTCATACTTTAACTATATTTTTAGTCTGTTTACTGAAAAGACATGAGACAATTTATTTGAATCTAGGGAAAAGTCCCCCAGACTCAAGGGGGAGATACTCCTAGTTAATCATTCTTTACCTGTTCCAGAACTTCTACGAAAACTTCGTTGAGAGCATTTGAAATTTTTGATGCTTTTATCATCAATAAGTTTTGCATCACTATCAGATTTAGCTCTTTCAAGAACATTTGGCCTAGGTGGCTAAAACAAAATAATCTTTTTTTTAATATAAGAAAAAGTAAAAAGATAAATAAGTTTAAATTAGAACTTTTCTTACTATTTTCTCTTCTCTTCCTGTAGGTGACTTTGTTTCAGATGAAACAGTTTCTAATCTATAAATTAAAATATTAAGATTAAAAAATAAGCTAATATCAGAAGATTGGGCCAAAAAAGTTGAAGTATAGACTGTAGAGGTAGTCAAAGTGTAGGGTGTTAAAGATAGTGTGGTAAAGTTATCGACCAATACTTTAATCTTTTATGCAGAATTTTCATTAAACAAATTTTTCATACTTCCTACATTATTTTGTAATAATTTAGGTCAAAATAAGTGAAAAATATTATATTTAGCCTTCTAATAGTTTATGGTTATGAAATACAGCATGAAACACTGGTAAATTTTTCTACATTGAAGATAAAATCTTCTAAACATAGCTGACTTCTAAACTAAAATGTTTCAAATCTTATTTGCAGTTATTTAGATCCAAGAGAAACAGTTATTCATCATTGAAATGGTAATTCTTAAGTGCCACTGCTAGTAACTCAACAAAATCTATAATTTGTTATAGTTTTATGAACTCTAATCATTTTTGGTCAAATTTTTACAATTTTTGGTCCATCAAAGCAGCAAATTTGCATACTTCTTAAAAATGCTTTTTGACAATTTTGTCACACTACTGTTAAAAGATTTCAGATACTTTGACTTTTTTGGCTCACTCTATATCAGTAATTAAAATCATTGGAAAAATGATGCAGCATTTGTAAATATCCATTTCAAAAGTTAAATCAAGAAAAAAGAATTTAATTCATTTTTATAAATATTTTAGGAGATATTAAAAATTGGTTAATTGTTTTTATTGATCTTAAAAATAATTTATGTGAGCAAAAAAAGTATTTTAAAAGAATTTTGTGATTGATAATCTATGGTTTTTATCTGTAACAAAACAAACAACAGTAGATAATAAGTTCAAAAAAATTAAGTTTCTCTGATGGTATACACTAAATGTGAAAATGTAATTCAATGAGAATTATAAAATTTCAGTTATCTTGAAATTTGTAAATCAAACTTGCAAATAAAAACTTGATTAAAATTTTAGTCATCCTAAAATGCAAATTTCAAAGTTGCAAGTGGGAATTAGATTAAGTTTTAAATTTGCAAATAGATTTTCAATTATATTGTTGAAATAGATTAAAACTAAACTCCAAAACTTCTAGTGAGAATTAGTTTAAAAAAATTTAAAAAAAGTTAGAATCCTAATGGTTTTTAAAACTTTATAATTATTAACTTTGTGGCCAGCAAATTATTAAAATAATTTAGCCAATTTGTGCCTAGTAATTTCTAAAAAAGTTGGCTCTTTTTTTTTTTAAAAAAAAAGGAAAAAATGTTTCATTCTTAAAATTTATATTGCAAATCCTAAGTAACTCTATCTACTATAATATATATTTCATATAAATATTTATACGTATTTGGATCTGAAGTCACATTTCAGTTCTTGTTCAAAACTAAAGTAATATTCACATGGTATAAACAAGTATCCACTATCACTACATTTTCTTTTTGCTAAGGCAGATCTTATGTTATTGCAATATTTGTATTTGGGCATTAATAAGTGAAAAGTAATTAGGTAACTAAAACTAATTAGGTAGATGAAGCGAAAGCTAATTAGGTAACTAAAATCAGTTTGGCCGGATATGAGATACTGGATATCTATTAGAATGTCAGAGCAGCCAGATGTAACTAATTTTTCATATTAATCGGCCATTGTTAATATTTCCTAATTGATTTTAATTTTTAATTCTCCAATTAATATTAATTTTCATTTATAATTTTAACTTCAGCATTAAATATTTTTTGAATTTTTACTTATCTCATGTCAGCATTTCAGTTCAAAGATTGTGAATTCATGTGTGTGTGTATATATATATATGTATATATATATATATGTGTATATATATATATATCTCATNATATATATATATATATATATATAGATAGATAATAGATAGATAGATAGATAGATAGCTGGCAGCAACGAATTGAAACATCAGCATGCGAGCTGTCATAAGCATGAAAGTGTAAACACATATGTTTATAAATTTCTGAATGAAGACTTTTGTCGCGTAGACAACGAAAAGCTGAAACTAACTGAGCTATGGTTTGGAAAGATTTGAAAGATTAAAAACGAATAGTTCATACCAACAAACAAAGTCTATATTATCTTTTAATTATGCTTATGCAGGTTTAATAATTATAATTTCATTCATTGTTATTTATTGTAAAATGAGTATCCGTCATGCTGTTAATCTTTGAAGTATAATAAATTTAAAAAAAAGTGTGCTCAAAGAGCAGAAGAAAGCATTGATGACAGTTATGAAAGACATAACATTGAAAGAATGCGTAGGAGACATGCAGTCATACCTGTTGTTTTTTAAAAACATAATTATTGCTTTGTTTCTGCAAGTTTTATGATTATTATGAGTTTTATTTCAAATTAAAATATTCTCATTTCAATAAAATTTTAATTTTTAAAGATGAATTAGTTTTAAAGATTTTAATAATTGATTTAAATTCTTAAAATTTTACGGTAAGACACATTTTAAATGGGCTTAATTTAGTAGGGAGCGAAGCGAGCAGTGGCGTGCAGACGCGCAAGGATGCCTCAGTCAAACTCCTTGATTAGATCCCCTTAGAAAGAGGATTGAAACCAAAAAATTTTTTAAAAAAATAAAAAATTGGAACAAAAAATCTAAATCCATATTTTGAATTCATTTTTACATAGAAATTTAAAGGAAATAATTCTTAAGTATAAAAGTTATTTGAAACAAATGTTCTAAGTTTTTTATTATATATTTTAATCTCAATGACCATAAACCTCATTGAAATCCGTATTTCATTTTTCAGTAAAACTTTCACCGTTCTCCCCTTTCTACACACCACTAGTTGCATTCTGAACAGCAACAACACACCCAGCCATTTATACATAGCTATTTTTAAACGAACTAGACATCGTAAGAATGTCACAGTAATTCTGATCAGATTATTAACACATATCCAACGGCTTGCCAAAAATTTCACTAACACCAGAAGATTTCAGAAACACCAGATTTTTTCATAATGCCATTCAAGTCTCAAAAATTCTGAAATAATGAGTAGCGTAGATAAAACCAGTTGCTTGAAGCATTTATAAATCAGTGAACTATCTCTAAGTTAGTAATTTACTTGGCAACTTCAGAAATATAATGTTTTACTATTAATATGTAATTTGAATTAATATATTACAAATTAACATTTCCAAGTGACGAAATTTTATGGAACTCTCACGTATTAGTGGATGATTCCCCCCCACAAATTTATTAGTTTCATTACTAAATACGTTCAGACTTTTTAAAAACTCAAATCATTAACATGTTTAACTTCCACCTAAAAATCAAATCGCTTGCTATATATTAAAAAAAAAAAAAAAACACTTTTGGTGAAAATTAGGAATTTTTATTTTAAATTGTTCGTGTTCAATGTTACAAATTTAGTGAGAAAAAAAAGTAGTAACCCTTTTTACAGTGAAGCATAGATAATAAAGAGCAAAAAGAACAGATAAAAAAAATTAGGACTAAGAATTCATTTCAGTTGGGAAAAAAAAGCTTAGTTAAAAAATTTAGATGAAATCATTTCGTTAGCATTATTTTAAGACTAATTTAACATAATTTCAAATTTTTTTTCTAGTTCATTGTTAAACATTCGCGTATTTACGGAGACGCGCAGAACCTCGCAAAGCACGAAAAGGGTTGCACATATTACATCATTCATGACATAGAGTTCTAATCTCCCTGACCCTAATTGGCTATTAACAGGGTCCCTTACCTTTATTTAAAAATGAAATAATTATGAATATTTATAAACACAATTCTTGAAAACAGTAAAAAAAAAAAAAACTTTAAAAAAATATTAAATACAAAAAATCTACATATGTTAATATGATTGTGTAAAACTAAATATTAAGTTAAATAAGCGAAAAGGGACGTCGCTTGTAGTGCGAATGTTGAACAGTAAAGTATACAAACCTTTACATAATTTTAAATAATGTAATTTTATGGGACAAAATACAAATTTTGAACGAATTCGGTAGAATAGTTCTTGTGAAATCGAATTTTAAAGCAGGCGATTTCTTAGGAATTGTTCAACCGATTTCGTTAGGAAAAATGTTACCATATATAATTACACTCATTCTTTAAAATAATGTAAAAATTTGTATCACTTACAATTCCATTTTTTTTTTGCTATTATTTAATAAAATAAAAAACAGTAAATAATCATAAAAAACTATTATCTGAAAGGGATTGTCTTTCAATAAACGAATTTTTTAATAGCGTGCAAAAATTTTTCAATTCGCTTAAAAAATTTGAGATATAATGAAATTCCCAAAAAGTAGAATTAACGTTAAGGTTCTCAAACTATTGAGATCATATTTCCGAAATTGCGGTTACACCCTAAATTATAAACGTCAGAAAAAGGTATGTTTATAAGTGTTTTTTTTGTGTCTGATTTCGCAACTTAAAATATCGTCAGCACAAATTAATTAGCACACTTAAAATCCCCAAATCACCCCCTCGAACCATTAGGAACGTGAAGATCCGATCACTAGATCAAAAGTTTCACTTTTTTCTTTTTTTGTGCACATTTTATTGTCACTTAAGTCAATAACCCTTTGCAACCTTCATTAAAAATTATTACAGCAAAATAAGTTGCAATTTCAACTTTTTATATTGAAAGTATCAATATTTTTTTTCTTACAAAATTTAAACAAATTATTTTAATAAAATAGTTAAAATTATAGAATATTTTACTAAAACGTTTTAATAGAAGTGAGCAAATTCTTTAATCAACTGAGCGAATAATTTCACAGGATTACACATGTCACAGCGTGTTTAGAAACGCGCTTGACGTATAATGTTGAAAACTTCTACATTTTTACGGAAATCAATTCATTATTTTAATACAATAATCTTAAAAGGATCAATCGAATTTGTTTTTCATTTTTGAAAATTTTACTGTGTTGTTCCCCTTTGAAAAACTTATACCTAGTGAAAAGAAATAGTGTAAATACACAACATCTACATA